CTACCAACTGAGCTATATCCCCAGCCTACATATGAGGTTTCTTAAGGAGGGAGGTTGCTTGGCACTTGGACTCTGGTGCTGAGGCTGGATGGAGAGAGGAACCCTGAGTTCTGGGCCCAGGTAAGTAATAGCCCCAGACTGAGGGCCCCCAGAGGGACTGAGGATCCCTCTTCAACTGTAACCCTACTGCCTGCCTCATTGTATCTGACCTGCTTCCACTCTCCCAGGGTGCTTGATCCTCATCCTTGACCCAGGATGCCTGCTCCTTTCATGCTGTCAACCTCTGATCTGCCTCCTTATATTCCTCTCCCCCACAGTCAGACCCTGTCTAAGTGACAGAGAGGATCAGTCTGTAGCCTGTAGGTCCAACACAGCCATGTGTGTTTTGTTTGAATGACACTGTCCAAAAACAATTTGAATTAGTTGCTTATGTTTAGAAACCAATAGGAATCATCTAAAATGATGGATTTCTTGATTCTCTTGAACAATCTACAGACTGGCAAGAGCAGACCTGCTTTAATTTCTGGCATGGCATCAACTGCCTGGGCTGAAGGAGCAGTTGCTCCAACTGGATGGAGAATTGTCAAATTGGGTGCAACATCCCATCATTCTATGGCTTCCCAGTTCTACTCCTTCATACAAACTTGTCCAACCTTGAAGGCATTTGTATTCATAACCATATTATTGACCAATCTGATTTGAGCCTTGTGCCTCTCCCAATCAGCTCTCACTGGATAAAACCCTCCCAACCCAAGACTCCCACTGACAGTCCACCACCCACAACAGCCTCATAATCTATTCCCTCAGCTTAGCCCACAAGTGCCAGGGGAATCTGTGCCCCGTTGCTGCCCCCAATACCTCTCCAGACCCCTGGCTCAGCCCTCTAGGAACTCCCTTCCAAGCCCCATAACCCCCATGGTGGTCATTCTGAAAACACAGAGAGGAATCGGACATCTTTTATTGATTCTAAAGAAGGACTCCTGCATTCTTATACTGAGGAAGGAGTTCTTGGATTTTGTGCCGGGGTGCTGAGATGGCTTGGACGATCCTCAGTGGGGGGAGATACTTCTGGGATGCCATAAAAATGGGATGATGTGGCCTAACTTTCTTGTTGACACTACACAAATCCAGGATCAGAGACTTTGGGTTGTAGATGCTTTTCTTCTTGGGCCCAACTGGGGTAAATGGTGGTATTTTGCGAGGCTCCACAAGCAGCCGTACTAGGTCCTTCCGAAAGATATTCCAGCTGTTCTCCTTGAGCAATCTCTGGCACATGTCGTCATCACTGAAGGGTAGGACAGAAGTTGAGCTTTCTAGCTAGCTCCTCCCTCCCTTGCCCTTCCAGACTTTCCTCCTGCCACTCTTTCCCATCCCTAAATATAGGAACCCAGTTCTAGCTCTTTGCCTTTCTCCAGGCTCCTGTCTCCTACTCTACCTTTCTATGACCTTCTTTGCATAGACCTATGCTTTCCCCTGCAGTGGTTACAAGCCATATGCAGCTACTGAGTACCTGAAATGTGGCCAATCTGAATTAGGGATGTGCTTTGGATATAAAACATACACTAGATTTCAGAGACTTATAACACAAAAGAATGGAAAATATTTCATGAATAGTTTTTATATTGATAAAATGTTTAAATTATAATACTTTAGATATATTGAATATACTGAATCTAAAAATAGATTATTCACCTATTTCTTTTCATGTCTTACAATGTGGTTATCGAAACATTTAAATTATATATAGGATCTCTAGCCATCCAAGAAATATAAATCAAAACCACAATGAGGGCTGGAGTTGTAGCTCAGTTGTAGAGCACTTGCCTAGCATGTGTGAGGCACTGGGTTCAATTCTCAGCACCACTTATAAATAAAATAAATAAAGCTTCATCGACAACTAAAAAAAATCTTAAAAAAATACAATGAGACACCACCTATACCCACTAGGGTTGTTACCACAAAAAAGACTGACAATGCCAGGCGTGGTGGTGCATACCTGTAATCCTAGTGGCTTGGGAGACTGAGGCAGGAGGATCACAAGTTCAAAGTTCAAAGCCTGCCTCAGCAACAAAAAGGCACTAAGCAACTCAGTGAGACCCTGTCTCTAAATAAAATATAAAATAGGGCTGGGGATGTGGCTCAGTGGTCGAATGCCTCTGAGTTCAATTCTTGGTACCCATCCTACTCCACCCCCCCGCAAAAAAAAAAAAAAAAAGACTGACAGGAGAGCTAGAGATATAGCTCAGTGGCAAAGTGGTTACTTAGTGACTTAGTGTGCACAAGGTCCTGGGTCTGATCCACAGCACCAAAAGTGAGGAAAAAAAGACAGTAATAAATATTGATGAAGATTGTGCAGATATTAGAATGAGGATTTTGCTGTATGGATGTAAACTGCTATGTAGCCATTTTGGAAAATGGCCTGACAATTCCTTAAGAGGTTAAACACAAGTTACCATATGACCCAGCAATTATTCCTAGGCATATATATATATATATATATATATATATATATATATGAGAAATGAAAATATATGTCTATAAAAAAACCTGTACAATAATGTTCATAGCAGTATTATTTATAATAGCTAAAAAGTGTAAATAATCCAAATGCCCATCAACTGGTAAATATATAAATAAGGTGTGATATATACATATTGTATGACTCCATCTATATAAAATGTCCAGAACAGTCAAATCTAGAGAGACATATCATAGATTGGTGGCTGCCTTGGACTGATCATGGTGCTCTGGCCCTTCCCAGGCCCCTTTCCCCATAGAGAGTGGGGCAAACAGGCATAGGATGGAACGGACTTAGCACTAACTGATTTATTTCCTTCTGAGACCACAGCAAGGGAAGGATGCTAAACTTCCATTGATTTGCCTGTGCTTGCCTACCTAAAGGGACAAGCCTAATAATTAACAACCTAGAAGGTTCTTCTGGCTAGATGATACTGACCAAGACAAAGTCAATTGTGATCCCAGAGATCCACTGAAGAAAACATGTAGAGGTCAGAATGGGCTATTAGCTAGTCCTTTTGGTATCGGTGATGTTCCAAAGCCAGCTCATAACCGTTCACAAAAGCTAACAGTGTGAATTCTCTTCTCAGCTCCCTGTTGAATGATATCAGGTTGGTAGCTTGAAACTGGCCATGGTGGGCATATGTACACCACAAAAATCAGCAAGCCTTGCCAGTCAGGGTTTTCTCCAGCCTCCTGGAGAGCTGGTACCAGCACACCTCTAGTTTCCACTTAAAAAGTTCCCATTAATTCCCAATTTCTTACAAAATGAATAATAGTATCTGACTTTGACCTACTACTTATCAAGTGTCAAGCACTTTATATTGGTTAACTCATTTAATCTCTATTTCATAAACATAGAAAGTTAGGGCTCAAAAGGGCTAAGGAACTCACTAAAATCTATGAGGGGTAAGCATGGGATTCTTTTATTTTTGGACCCAAAGTCCAAGTTGATACAGACAAGATTCCACATCATGTCTGGATGATGATGGTCACATTTGTTTCTAGTCTACTCTGTTACTAAGCAGGGCAGCTTTCCAGAGTCCTCTGCCTGGGGGAGTTCCATTCCAATCCCCTGCCTCACTTGATGATTGCTTACGTCTTCACAGGCTTTGACACTTTAGCTCATGTGGCTTTTCACCACTCTGGGGCAACCCCAGCATTGAATCTTGTTGTTTACTTGATTTGGAGGAGCCTCTTCATTTTGGCCTTTGAGGATTCCTCTGTCTTTCTTATGAACTGAGATCTCCATTTTGTTCTACATGCAATGGCCTGGGTTGTGTATGGGTGATTTTTAGGTTTCTAGCCCATGGCATTCACAGGGCTGGTGCCTCTGCCTGATTGATTTTAGGACCTCAAGTCCTTAGTTAAAACTTAAGAGATTTGAGCTACATAATGGATATGTTTCTGGCCTGCTTTGGCAGTCTAAAAAGCATGAGTTCAACCATTAATGAAGACAGAACCCTGCCTGTCAGCATTAGAGATGACTAAAGCAAAGCGCTGACTTGGCAGTACAGGCACCAAGTGCTCAAACATCTGTGCAGGCAAGTCTATGTGAACCTTTTCAGAATTTCAATTCCACAAACACTAGCTGAAACTGCCCAGGGCCAGCTATCACTCGAGGAGCTGAGGTTCCTTAGATCTTTTTCAAGTAGGTCAGTCTGAACAGCCATTTTCCATATTGGTAGTGCACAGAAAACAGAGATGCATCACCTCTGAACTGGGAGAAGTCAACAGTGAGTCTCCACTTGTTTTTCTCATAAAATTCCTTCAATTTTTTGCCACATAAAATTTGCTCATTATTATTCTTAAATCCACTCATTTCTTTTACTTAAACATCTACTTTAGCTCTTTCCTGAGCAATAAAATCTACTTAATCTCGAGGTTAGTAAGCTCATCCTGTTATTTTTCTAACGTACACTGTCAAGGTTAAATATGTAAATCTGTGCACCATAGAAAATCATCTTGCAAACCTTCTGTGGAATGTGTTTCATACTTTGGGAAACAATGATCTAGTCAATTTTTTCTTGTTCTGCTGATTGGACTCTGAAGTCTGAGAGGAAATGACTTGCCCAAAATCACAGAGCTCTCATATAGAATTATGAACTTATTGGACACACTGCAAGAATCTACAGATCTGAGCAGGCTGCAGTGGCACACACCTGTAATTCTCAGCAACTTGGGAGGCTGAGGCAGGAGGAAAACAAGTTTGAGGCCAGTCTCAGTAACTTAGTGAGACTCTGTCTCAAAATAAAAAATAAAAAAGACTAGTGAAGTTGCTCAGTGATGAAAAAGATTCTACAGATCTGCCTGCCTCCACACCTCCTCTTTCTCTACCACTGGACTAGCACTTGCTTCCAACACCTGCTGGGAAAACCAGGTAAGTTTCTGTATGCTACCAAAGACATAGTGGTAGCATATATATAATTTTGTACTGCTCTTTCCATGTATCATTAGCTTACCCACTTAACACTCCAATTATGGAGTCATTAAACTTATCATCTTTTAATGGCGCAATCTGGCTGAGCACAATTCAGGAGCCACTTGTCAAAAGAAATGAACTTTATTTTTAGAACACACACCACACCACATGAGCTCTTCAGGAATTCCCTCAGAGCCCAACTGCCACCACCGGCTTCCCACAAGCCTCTCAATCTCCCCCACTCCTCCTGCTCTTGAGGCCGATTTGCTGGGTCGTGTGGGCGGAGCCAAAAAAAGTCCCCCAGTGAGCATCTCCGTGGTCTGAAAGGGCGTGGAAACAGCCCAATGAGCATCACCGCAGAGGAGCCAATCAGTTGGCAGCTAGAAGTTTGCTGGGGCCGCTGTGAGCCAATCTTCAGCTGGCAGCTGGAAGTTTGCTGGGGCCCCTTGGGCTGTGGCTCTCAACATTTTAATAAGACAGGGATAGTCTATCAAGGGAATGTACTGCTTTTCTTACTATCTCCTTATGTGTGGCACAGGTGGAGGTAATGGTGGTGATTTTCCTATTATGAATATGACTGCTATGAACATTTTAATACTTGTAGTTTCCCCCACATTTTGGCTTCCTAAGGACAAATTCAGGGGTGGATCACTGCCTCAAAGGGTAGGATCATATAAGGCTAAAATTAACAATGTCAAAAGGAATATGAGGCTAAAATTATCATCAAAAGGATTGAGCCAATTTAGAATATAATAACTACCAGTTTCATTTCACTATTGTCAGCATTCAGTATTACTGATTTTTTTCCTTCCTCCCTCCTTCCCTCCCTCCCTCCCTTCTTTCTTTCACTATAACAACAGGCAAAAGCTCGTTCCTTTGATCTGAAGGGACTCACACACTGCCCAATACTGACCTGGGGTACTCAATGTCAGACCTCAACAACTTCTCTCTTGTCTCTTCATCAATCATTTCATAAAATTTTTCTTTCCTTAATCGAATCAACTCAGTTCCCAGGCTCACGAGAATCAAGGGCCGCATGTCACGATGGCTCTCTGGAAAGAAGGCCTGGTGAAAGCCCTAGAAAGAAGTAATCACAGAAAACTGGACCTCAGAAACCAGTCAGTTCTACCAGCAGATTTTCTAGATAGCAAAATAAGGCCTCAAATAAGAGGTGAATCCACTGCAGTCACTGAGCTTGTGATGGGGAGGGGAAGTCCAGGGCTACTTTTGCTACTTGACATGACAGTCTTCTGATTCCTGGAATTAGAAAGCCCTAAGTGCTTTCTCCATGGTCCCACCTCCACAGAGCAGGCTCTGTTCCCTTTCTCCAATGTCCAATCTCAACTTTCTTTTTTTAGACAGGTTTCACTCTGATGCCCAGGATAAGCTTGAACCTCTGTGCTCAAGTGATACTCTGCCTTGGTCTCCTGGACTAGCTAGAACTAGCCATCTCACCCGGCTTTCAACTCATTTTTGCCAAGCAAGCTTGTTTTCTCTTCCTCAGGACTTAGGACAAAAACCAAATAGCTAGTCCTTATTTAGACATCCCCCTTTTCATCCACCCCTTACCCCATCCTTTTCTGTAGGCCCCAGTCCTCTCTGCAGCTTAGTGTACCCACTGCTTTTTGGCTTGCTTCATATCTGGTTGTATCTGAAAATGAGATGGAGAGCCATAGGCATACCTGCTTGCTTTACAGAGTAAGCCTCTTTATAAGGAGACACTCTGGACCTGGCTGAGCAAAGCCAAGAACCCTTGTTGCTATACTCTAAATCCAGTGCTCACACTTTAGCTTCTTGGCTGGTTAATTAAGACTCAGGTAGGGAGGGAAGGAGAGGCTACTGGCCCCCCAGAGCCTCCAGCGCCCAGCTTTCTAAGACTCAAGAACAAAAGAGATCCCAAATCAAAAGACCTGCTCTTTGGAGGCCAGGTAAGATTAATCCTGGCTTCCAAAAGGATATCTACATTTTTCATTTGCTTTGTGGCTTTGGGCAAGCGATACCTCCCTGGGCTGCTGTTTGCTCACCTATGAAATGGAAGTGACAGCCAGGCACAGTGGTGGTGGTACATATCTGTAATTCCAGCCACTCAGGAGGCTAGGCAAGAGGATTACAAATTTGAGGCCAGTCTGGGTTCAATCTTCAGTACTAAGGAAGTGGGGAAAGGAGCATGGACAGGGGGCAAAAATGTTGCTCCTACTATGTGAAGAAAATACATACAAATATAATCTTCACAACTGCCCTATTGTATAGGGATCATCCTTCTTAGCTGTGGAAAATGAGATTCCGAAAACAAAATTTACTTGTCCACAGTCATGTATTTTATATTCCCAACAATGATAATACTGACAACAATTGTTATGGTTTGGATATGAGGTATCCTTCAAAAGCTCCTGTGTTAATGCAGGAATACTCAGAGGTAAAATGATTAGATTAGGAAAGCTGTAACCTAATCAGTCCATCCTAGTTGGAATGGACTGACTGGGTGGTAACTGTAGGCCATAGAGTTAACAGTAGGGGTGTGGCTGGAGGAGGAGGGTCATTCACTGGGGGAGTGCCCTGGAAGGGTTCATCTTCCCTGTAGTCTCTTCTCCACTTACCCCTCTGCCTCTCTCTGCTTCTGGCCACCATGAGCAGAGTAGCACTTCTTTGCCATGCCTTTCTGCCAGGATGTGCTGCCTCACCTTGGGCCCTGAGCGATGAATTCTGTTGTCCCTAGACTAAACATCTTAACTTTGAGCTAAAATAAACTTTCCCTCCTCCAATTCATCCTTGTCAGGTATTTTGATCACAGCATCACAAAACCTGATTAACACAAAGACGAAGGTAGCACCAGCTAACATTTATTAAGCATCCACTAAATTACAGGGCCTCTTATAGTTTGTGGTTATATTAAGTCATTTAAGCCTCACAAACACAATGGCGTGGTTCCCTATTTTATAGATGAGGATGCTGAGATTAAGAAAAGTGTCCAACATTATACAGCATTAAAGCAATAAAATCATTCTTTTTAACATTTTTTTATATTTATTTTTTAGTTGTAGTTTGACACAATACCTTTATTTATTTATTTATTTTTATGTGGTGCTGAGGATCGAACCCAGGGCCTCACACGTGCTAGGCAAGCACTCTACTGCTGAGCCACAACCCTAGCCCCAGGGGCACTCAACTACTGAGCCAAATCCCCAGCCAAATCCCCAAATCCCCCAGGGTCTCATTGAGTTGCTTAGTAACTCATTTTTTGCTGAGGCTGGCTTTGAACTTGAGATCCCCCGGTCTCAGCCTCCCAAGCCACTGGGATTATAGGCATGCCACCATGCCCAGCTAAAGCCAGGATTTGAACCCAAGTGGTCTGTTTTCAGAATCCACACTTTTTACCACTATGGTATGAGGAAACTGAGGAATGAAGAGGTTGAGTAACTTGCCCAAGACACAAAGTGGCAAAGCCAGCATTTGTTTTGTATTGAGACAGAGTCTCATTACATTGAGGCATGATCTTCCTGCCTCAGCCACATAAAGACAGGATTTGAACTGAGGAATCTATTCAGGAGCAGTACTGGCACTCTTCTCCACTGCAGGTCCATCCCCCATCACACACGAACACAGGAACACACACATGGGCATGTACACACACACATATACACACACACGCACATAGCTGGAGTCAGGTCACTTCCTCTGTCTAAATCCTTGAAAAAGCTTCCCAAAGTACCAGGAATAAAACAGAATACTTCATCATGGCTGCCAGGGCATGGACTATCTATCTCACCATTGCTCTGCTTTTCAGCCTGGTCCATTGCTGCCACTACCCTACCTCGTTTACTCTGTTCCAGCCATCCTGCCCTCCCTTCCAGTCTCTTCAACATGCTGTGCCTCCTTCCTGCCTTCCTGCCTCCTTCCTTCCTTGCTTGTCCTTCTGTCTGAAATATTCTTCTCCCTTGTCCTGTTTCATCATTCGGGTCTCAGCTTGAACATACTTCCTCAGAGACCTCATTTAAGAAGGTCACCTCCCCACTCTGCTTTCCAGCACTTTTCCAACAGCAATTTGCTATTTTTCATGTACTTGTTAGAAATCTGTATACTATGTGTAACCCAACTAGATCAAATACCCCATGAGGCAGGAGTTATGTTGGTTAACTCACTCACAATGGCACCTTGTGCCATGCTTGGGAGCACAATAGATACTCAAGGAATATCTGTTAAATGAGTACACAAATGGAGTCACAACATTCAAGGTGGCAACTCACCCTGGTGAATTTCCTCATTTTCTGATGAGGATACAGATTGAGAGGCAAAGTGATTTGCCCAAGTCTGCACAGCTAGCAATTAGAAACAAAATCAGAATAAGATTCCTCCATCTGTCACCTCTTTGCTGCTCTGTCCATGGCTCTGGCCTGTCCTGACTACCTCTTAGGCCTAGGCCTGCCTATTCCCTGGAAGGTTGGTTCTCCTACACCTCTTGGCTCAAAATCTGGGTCTCTCTGCTCCAAGGCCCCCACCTCTGCTGTTCCCATACTCCTGCTTCCAAGGGTAAGGAAAACGTGATAGATTCTTACCTTTTGTAAGTGAATACTCAGAGCTGTTACCCACTCATTTGCCTTAAATGAAGCCAGGGCCTTGAAAGCAGTACAGAGTCTCATTCAAAAGCACCTCATTAAGACTTTCACCAACATTTTCTTCAAAGAGGGTCACATAAACAAGTATTTGTAGAGAGCCTTCTATGTATGTGGTGTCCTGTGCATAGAGGGGGAGAGGTGGCCAGGTCCTTGCACTAAGCCCTACTCATAACCTTCCCCGGCCTCCTAAGGAATTAAGACCATTCTGGCATCGTGAGTCCTCTATAGTACTGGCCTTATTGCTCATGTCCCTTACACAGCCTCCCATCAAGGTCACCATCTACCTGCCCTCCATGCTTTGATTCTACCCAGGGTGCCCAAGCATGCCTAGCTTTTCCACCTTGGTTCCCTGTGTCTGTTCAGTTCTGAGCAGCACTCTCTGAAACACTGACAAATTTAAGAGAAGCAGGCAGTAAAGAGGCAGGAGAACACATCACATGAAGAATGACTAGAGAAATGGAGGATGTTTGCCTGAATAAGAAAATAGTTAATGGAACATTGGCACTGTGCCTGGCTACAGAAATGCTGAATGAAAACCAAAACATCATTCTCTAAATATCAATGGGGCCATCACATGGTAAGGAAGCTGATTTCTTCTATTTTCTTCTTTGGGAGGTAGAGACCATGGGAGTAGAGTTACTTTAAAGTTGCAAAAGGCAGCTGGCAAATACCTGTAATCCCAACTACTCAGGAGCCTAAGGTAGGAAGATTACAAATTCAAAGATAGCCTGGGAAACTTAGTGATACCTTGTCACAAAATAAAAAATAAAAAGGGCTGGGGATGTAGCTCAGTGGTAAAGGAAGGGTTCTATCCCCAGGACTGGGGGCTAGGGGGAAAAGTTACAGAAGGTAGATTTTTCTTGAACAAAAGGAAGAATTTTCTAAGAGTTCAAAAATATTCAAATCAGCTTAGAGGGTTCATTCTAGAGACTGGCTCTCTGATAGTCTTGGGCTGACTTTCCTGATACACCAACTAGTGAGACAGGACCAAACATGGGGAAGGAGGGCGTGAAGACGGTCTTGGAGCAACTGTAACGAGGCACAGCAGAAAGGGCACGGATCAGGTTCCCAGACTCTGCATGAGTGCATACAGAGTTTCAAAAGAAAGCCTCTCCCCAGGCAGGCTGAGGCCCACTGCTCCATATCTGTTACCACCATGCTATTCATCCTGCCACTCAGCTCCGCACCCTTCACCAGCTTCAATGGTGATTAACTCATGACCAGTCTTGGTTCATCCATACTCACCCCTTTACTATTGGATTAATTTTTTAATGGTCTATTTTTTAGAACAGCTTTAGATTTACAGAAAAACTGAGAAGCTAGTATAGTATTTTCATATATTTCCCAACCTGTTTCCCCTATTAATATCTTACATTATATGATATCTTTGTTAAAATGAACAAACCAATATTGACATATTATTATGAGGTTAATGAGTTATTTAGATTTCCTGTTTTTAATGTAATGCACTTTTTTTTTGGGGGGGGGGGGTGATGGTGCTGCATCAAACCTAGGGCCTCTGCCACTGGGCTACATCCACAGCCTACCTAATGTCTTTTTTCTGTTCCATTATCCTATCCAAAATACCTTACATGTAACTGTCACGTCCCTTTAGTCTCCTCACAGTTGTGGTAGTTTCTCAGGTATACCTTATATCTGATGACCTTGACAGTTTGAAGGGTATATATCAGGAATTTTGTGGATGCTCTAGTATTAGAATTTGTCTGATATTTTTCTCACAATTATACTGGGGTTTTGGGGTTACTGAGAGAATGACCATTAGACACAGTGCCATTTTCATCACACCATATCCAGTGGCAATATTATCAACATGATTTATTACTGTTGATGTTGTCCTTGATAACCTGGCTGAGGCAGTGTTTCTTAGATTTGGCCCTTTTCCTTACTGTACTCTTCAGAAGGAAGTCACTATATGCAGTTCAATCTAAAGAATAGGGATTATAATGTAATGTTCTCCCTTCTTGAGGGCAGGGTATCATGCTTCAGAATTATTCTGTAGGGAGATTTGCCTTTTCTCCATCTACTAATCCATTCACTATTGATTTATTTATATCATGAATATATATCATTCATTTATATCAGTATGTCATGGATGTTTATTTTATACTTTGGGTTTACAATCCTGTACTGCTTTATTTTATTGCTCAAATATCTTTGGCCAGCAGGGGTTCTTTACACTGGCCTATGCCCTTTGACATGCCCTGAAGTTTTCCCCCACCAACATTTCCTTTATTTTCAAGAACTATAAAATGTTCTAGGCTCATCTTACATAGACCACTGTTCCTTTTATTGGGAAATGTTATTAGAAATCAAGATCTGGCTTCTTGAGATTGGCCTGAGAAATGATTTTTAAATTTTTTTTGAAATGACACCAAAACCCAGGCAAATGAGATTGCTTCAAACTAAAATACTTATGCATAGCAAGGGAAATAATGAACAGAATAAAGAGACAACCTACAGGATGGGAGAAAAATTTGCAAACCACACATCTGATAAAGGAGTAATATCCAAAACATGAAAAACAACTTAGTAGTAATACAACAACCTGATTAAAAAATGGGCAAAGTGCCAGGTGCATGTGCACATCTGTAATCGTAGCAGCTCAGGAGGCTGAGGTAGAAGGATCACCAATTCAAAGCCAGCCTCAGAAAATTAGCAGGCCCTAAACAATTTAGCAAGACTCTGTCTGAAAATAAAAAGGGCTGGGGATGTTGCTCACTGGTTAAGCATCCCTGGGTTCAATCTCAGGTACAAAAAAAAGAATTCCAACATTATGCATAATTATAATGTGTTCAACATCATTAAGCATCAAGGAAGTAAAAATTCAGTATCAAGGAGATATTGAATCCTATTGTTATAAAACAGTAATTATCAAAAAGATTACAAATATTGGTAAGAATATTAAAAAAAGGAATCCTGGGCTGGGATTGTGGCTCTGTGGTAGAGCACTCGCCTAGTATGGGTGGAACCCGGGTTCAATCCTCAGCACCACATAAAAATAAAGGCATTGTGTTGTATCTATCTACACCTAAAAAATAAATATTAAAAAAAAGGAATCCTTGCACATTGTTGATAGAAATGTAAATTAACATAACCAATATGTAAAACAGTATGGAGGTTCCTTAAAAAATTAAAAAATAAAAAGAATCATTTGATCCAGCAATCCCACTTCCAGATATATATTTAAAGGAAATGAAATCAGTATGTTGAAGAGATAGCTGCTTTCCATGTTTACTGCAGCCTTATTCACAAGAGTGAAGATGTGAAATCAAAGGGCTGGGGGTGTAGCTCAGTAGTAGAGTGCTTAGCATATATGAGACACTGGGTTACTCTCCAGAATCACATAACAAATAAATTAATTAATTAATTAATTAACTTAAAAAATAAAGTTATTTAAAAAATGCGAAATCAACCTAAGTGTCCCTCAATGGATGAACAGATAAAGAAAATGTGGTACATATGCCAATTATAGATCAGAATAATATCTATGATTGGCATATGTACTTCTTTAAAAAGAAGATAATATTGTCATTTGTAACAACACAGACGAACCTGGAGAACATTATATTAAGTAAAATAAGCCTGTCACTGAAAGATAACACACATCTCACATATATGTGGAATCCAAAAAAAGCTGAACTCTAGAAGTAGAGTAGAATGACTGCCTGGTGCTGTGGGTTGGAGATGTTTTGGGGAGTTGTTGGTCAAAGGAAATAGAATTTCAGTTAGGAGGAATAAGTTCAAGACATCTATTGTACATGGTGGCTATAGATAATAATAATGTATATACACTTGGAAATCCCTAAGAGATTAGATATGTTTTCATTATAAAAAAAAAATACCATATGGGGCTGGGGTTGTGGCTCAGTGGTAGCGCCTAGTGCGTGAAAGGCCCTGGGGGTTCAATCAATTTGCACACACATAGATAAATATTTCTATATGTAACTATCTGTAAGTGTATCTGAGCTAAATTTGAATTCATACTGATATCTTTAACCCATTATCATATGGATCCTTCTAGCTGCCTCTCATCTGTAAATTTCTACTCATTTAGTGAAAAACCTAGATCCCACCATTTGCCAATTTTTACTTAATTGATCCACTTTAATATATACTGTAGTAATATCAGGATTATTAATACATACCTACATGGGAAACAATCTTATCAACTAGAGTACAGGGTTCACATACAAATTCATTTTGCCTTTAATATTTTTCCTAAATTTTTTTTTAGATGTAGATGGATACAATACCTTTACTTTATTTATTTATTTGTATGTGGTTCTGAGGATTGAATCCAGGGCTTCACACATGCTAGACAAGCACTCTACCACTGAGCTCTAACCCTAGCCTCTACCTTTAATTGTAATGACTCCACTCATTTCCAAAGTTACTTAATGTTAATACCCTTTTCCCCAACCTCTTCAGGATGTTTCATGCATTTGTAATGTTAGATTTTCTTATCATAGTCCACATTCCTTCCTGAAATCCACTGACCTCCTAAATGATTCTTTTAAAACTGCATATTTTAAGATTCACTCTTAGCCAGGCACAGTGGTGCACACCTGTAATCCCAGTAAGTTGGGAGGCTGAGGCAGGAGGATCACAAGTTCAAAGCCAGTATCAGCAGATTAGTGAGACACTTAGCAACTCAGTGAGACCCTATCTCTAAATAAAATAAAAATTGATGTCTTAACAATACTGAATCTTCCAATCCATGAATACAGAAATATTTCTCCACTTATTTAGGCCTTCTTTAAATTCTTCCATTAGAGTTACATAGCTTTCAGCATGTAGATTCTATGTGTGTGTGTGTAGTGTTGCTGAGATTAAACCCAGGGCCTTGTGCATGCCAAGCATACACTCCACTGCTGAACTACATCCCCAGCCCCTGCACGTAGACTGGCGTATATTTTGTTAGATTTATACCTATGCATTTCATTTTTAAAAAAATATTTATTTTTTAGTTTTAGTTTTAGGTGGACATTTATGCGGTGCTGAGGAGCAAACCCAGTGTCTCATGTATGCTAGGCAAGCACTCTTAACATTGAGCCACAACGCCAGCCCCTCATTTTGTGTTATTATAAATGGTTTTCATTTTAAGTTCCAGTTTTCATTGCTGGTAGAAGGAAAACAACTGACTTTTATATATTAACCTTGTATCTTTCCATCTTGCTATAATCTCTTATTACTTTCAGAAGTGTTTTGGATTCTTTGGAACTGTGGACGCAGACAATCATGTCATCTGCAAACAAAAACAACTTTCTTTCTTCTCAATCTGTATACCTTTTTATTTCCTTTTCTTGTCTTACTGTACTACTGGCTCAGACTTTCAATACAATGATGAATAGGAGTGATGAGAGGCAACATCTTTGCCTTAACACTTTTGGATATTCTAAAGCTCCCAGCTGACATGTCAATTTATTTATAGATATTTTAATATGCATTTCTTCAATATAGGACTCCTTAAAAACAGAGCCACAATACTTTTATCATATCTTAAAAATCAATGATTTTTTTGTTTGTTTTTGGTGCAGAACTGGAGATTGAATTCAGTGGTGCTCTATCACTGAGCTATACTACCAGCCTTTTTTATTTTTTGAGATAAGGTCTTACTAAATTGCTGAGGCTAGCCTTGAGTTTGCAATCATCCTGCCTCATTCTCCTGAGTCACTTGGATCATAGGCATATGCCACCACACTTGGCTAAAAATCAACACTATATCTTAATCTCATTAAATACAGAGAGGGGTGTTTCTAAACCTTTACTTTCATATTCAACACTCTTAGCCCATTCATGTTACACACTGTATCATGAACAAAGGTCTCTGTACACTTACCACAATTTCTCCTTCCTCCACAGTGTGGATCTTCACGTAGGCCCCCACCACAGCCTCCTTGGGGAGCTCACCAAACTGGGTATTAACCATGGGACACTGGATCGACTGAGCACGCTTGGATCTGAAACATGACAGTTTGTTAAAGAGAACTCATTTATAACACAGCCAGTTCATGAGACCCTAAATAATCAGCCCTTACTCTATTCTATACTGAGAGCTTCCCTCCCTGAAGAACACACCTTCCAGAATGTAAGAAAAATCAAGCCCATTGTCAGGGATTAGAAGCGTAATAGGAAAAAGACTTGAAAAACAAAAGATGTGAGGCTCCCTTTAAACACCTGAAGTTTGTTATGTGAAGGGGTTGATGATCCTATACGGCTAAACCAGACTTATTAGACTTCTTTCTAGGCAGAGTTTATTTATCCAATAAAGAACCGGTTGCAGCTCTAGTCTATGAGGTTCAAAGCTCATATGGAGGGAGAAATTTTTCTTTTTTCTTTCTTGCTACTAGAGATTGAACCCAAGGGTGCTTATCCACTGAGCCACATCCCCAGCCCTTTTTATTTTTAGTTTGAGACAGGGTCTCACTAAGTTGCTCAGGGCCTAAGTTGCTGAGGCGGGCTTTGAACTCATAATCCTCCTGCTTCAGCCTCCTGAACCACTGGGATCATAGGCTTGTGCCACCATGACCAGCCTAGAGGAAAAAATGTCTAACAGTCAAAGCTGACTGAGGAGCTGGGATTGTAGCTCAGTAGTAGAGCACCTGCCTAGCACATTTGAGGCACTGGGTTCAATCCTCAGCACCACAAAATAAACAAACAAATAAAATAAAATACAGGCATTGTGTCCATCTACAACTAAAAAAATTTTTTTTAAAAAAAGCTGTCTGAAAATGGAACAGACTCCTTTGATAAACCGTAAACAGCTGTATTTCTGCCTCCCTTAGGTAGAATTTTCTGAAGAAGCTCAGAGAAAAGACCCAACAACACACAGATACAGAAGATACTTTCTGCCTTCTCTTCCTTAAATGGGTTCCTGAGGCCCTGATAAAAGAAGTAATTGACTTCTTAAAGTGTACCTTTTTGTTAGAAGCAGAGAATACAAGGCCTGGGTATCAAGCCTAGGACCTGTTTAGGCTGCCTCAGGGACACACCTATTCCTTTGAGACTAACATGCATCTGCCACTTATATTTCCGCCTCAGCATCCCTGATGTTCTGCCAAGGAAGTCATACCCGCCCTTTACAACCACAATCGGGGCCCCTCTATCTGCCAAGAGCTGAGCTTACTTGATCTTCGGGCCCAGCAACTTGGGGAGACTATCTCCTGAGGTTTTGATTGTCTTATTGAAGCTTGTCTCCTCTTGCTTCCAGGATTCCTGGAGATGTAGAAGTTTCAAACAGCTAAAGTCCTGTAGAGGATATGATTTGATCTGGAATTCCCTAAATCTCATTACAGGATTCATTTCTGTTAGAGAAAGCACAGAAAAGCACATTAATGGGCCTTTGCATATATGACAGTGGTAGTGCTCCTGGTGGTGGAAATACAGCATAGTAACCTGCCTGCATAGTCTGGTACATGAAGAAATTAAGAAGAAAAAAAATGTGTGGCTTCGCCCAGTGCAATGTCACATGCCTATAATCCCAGAGGCTTGAGAGGCTGATGTAGGAGGATCACAAGTCCAAAGCTAGCCTTAGCAACTTAGTGAGGCCCTAAGCAACTCAGTGAGACCCTGTATCTAAATAAATATTAAAAAATGGGCTGGAGGGGCTTGGTGTAGATCAGTGGTAAGAGTGCTTGCCTAGCATGTGTGAAGCACTGGGTTTGATTCTCAGAACCACATATAAATAAAATAAAGGTCAATCAGCAACTAAAAGGAGGGGGGTGCTGAAGATGTAGTTCAGTGGTTAAATGCCCCTGAGTTCAATCTCCAGCACCAAAAAAAAAAAAAAAAAACATGCAATACATGGACTTCATGTAATGTCCCTCTATGGCTGGCTCTGTGCTAGACCTTTTCTAGCCACTTCATCCAGGCAAGTGCGATTAGCCTAATTAGACATAAGATGAAGAACCGAGAGTTCAGGTCACTGATGAAAGGGCTGATGCTTGGATTTGAACTCAAATCTATTTGATTCAAAGTTCATATCTTGGGGCTGGGGATGTGGCTCAAGCGGTAGCACGCTCGCCTGGCATGCATGCGGCCGGGTTCGATCCTCAGCACCACATACAAACAAAGATGTTGTGTACGCCAAATACTAAAAAATAAATATTAAAATTCTCTCTCTCTCTCCCTCCCTCTCTCACTCTCTCTTTAAAAAAAAAAACACAAAGTTCATATCTTCAGATTAACAGATCACACTTATCTCAGCTTTCAAACTGGGCTTTCAGATTGGGGCAGGAAGAGCAATAAAAGATAAATGGATGACTGGATGACTAGTCCCAGAACCTTGGACAAGTCACATAATCTCTTTTAGAGCTTTGGTAGGGTTATTGTAAGAGTTGCCAATAAAGTATGAGATGCCTAGCACAGTACCAGCATACAATAGGACCTCTATGCAAATTATTGAAAAGATCTCCAAAGAAATACTATTTAAAAATAAGAAGGCAAGCCAACTACTCAAAAACACTATGCTTAATGAAGAAGTAGGACAAAGAGTTTACATGGCATAATTCCATTTTTATGAAACTCTAAGAGACACAAATTTAACCTATAGTGACAGAAAGCATATTGGTGGTTGCTTACGGCCAGGTGCAAGAGGTGGAGATTAACTGGGAAATGGCACAAGGGAACTCTCTGGGGCAATGAAAATGCTCTATAACTTGGCTTTGGTAGTTATGTGGGGGTATGGATTTATCACAATTCATTGAACTACATATTTAAAATATATGTACTGGGCTGGGGATGTGGCTCAAGCGGTAATGCGCTCGCCTGGCATGCTCAGGGGCGCTGGGTTCGATTCTCAGCACCACATAAAAATAAAATAAAGATGTTGTGTTCACCGAAAACTGAAAAATAAATATAAAAAAATTCTCTCTCTCTCTTTAAAAAAATATATGTACTTTATTGTATAAAAATTATACCTCACTAACAATGATTTTAAAGAGATGTTAACAAATAAATCCAAACTCCATAAGCAGTAGGCCTAGCTTAACAAGCACTTATGAAAAGCCCTGAATATAATTTTTTAAATTTATTTTTTGGTGTAGATGGACACAACACAATGCATTTTATTTTTATGTGGTGCTGAGGATCGAACCCGGGTTCCTCCTGTGCTAGGCGAGCACTCTACCGCTGAGCCACAATCCCAGCCCATAATTTTTAAATTTGTTTTCTTATTTTTGTTTTTGGTACCAGGGATTGAACCCAGGGGTGCTTAACCACTAAGACATATCCAGCCCTTTTTTTCATTTTGAGACAGGGTCTTGCTAAATTGCTGAGGCTGGCCTCAAACTTGTGATTCTCTTGCCTCAGCATTCTGAGTTACCAGGATTACAGGCATTTACCATCACACCTGGCAAGCATGAACTTTTTGAAAGGTATCTTGGCAATGGCAATATCTGTCAATGTTTTAAATGTACATAGCTAGTATACAGTGGATCAAATACTCAATCTAGTAATTTAAGAACCTGTCCAATATGTTTCCTTGTACAAGAATGCAAAGATAAACCTATTAGGAATTCACCACAATAAGGATTGGATAGTGAAAAATTGGAAAGAATTCAAAATATCTGCATAAGATAATTAAATTAGTGACCATGTATCCATATAATAGAAAAAAAATCAGTTATTAAAAGTCATCATGTCAGGTGCAGTGGTGCAGGCCTGTAATACTAGTTACCTGGAAGGCTAAGACAGGAGGACCACAAGTTCAAGGCTAGTCTTGGCAACTCAGTGAGATCCCCCCACCTTTTTTTTTTTCCTTCTTTTTTTCTTTTTTTGAAGTACTGAGTATTGAACACAGGGCCTTGCACTTGCTAGGCAAGCACTCTACCACTGAGCTACACCCCCCAGCCTGAGACCCTATTTTAAATTTTCTTTTTGGTACTGCAGATTGAACCCAGGGATGCTCTACCACTGAGCCACAACCCCAGTGCCCCACCCCGCAGCCCTTTTTTGTGTTTTATTTAGAGACAGGGTCTCATCAAGTTACTTAGGGCCTCATGTAATCCCAGTAAATTGGGATCATATGCATGCGCTACTATGCCCAACTTAAAATATTTTTTTAAGTCCTGGGGATGTAGCTCAGTAGTAAACAAGTGCCCCTGGGTTCAATCCAAGTGTCAAGAAGTACAAAACAGGGCTTGGTGGCACACACCTGTAATTCCAGAGACTCAGGAGGTTGAGGCAGGAGGATCACAATTCAAAGCCAGCCTCAGAAACTTAGCAAGGCTCTAAGCAATTTAGTGAGATCCTGTCTCTAAATAAAATATAAAAAAAGGGCTGGTAGGGGGTTAGGGTTGTGGCTCAGTGGTAGAGCATTTGGATAGCATGTGCAAGGCACTGGGTTCAATCCTCAGCACCGCATAAAAATAAAAAAATACAGGTATTGTGTCCAACTACAATAAAAAAAAAATTTAAAAGGGCTCGGGGCGCTGGAAATATAGCTCAGATGGTAGAGTGCTTGCAAGGCAAGCACAAGGCTCTGGGTTTAATCCCCAGTACCACAAACAAACAAAAACAAAACAAAACAAAGCAAAGGGTTGGGGATGTGGTTCAGTGGTTGAGTGCCCCTGGGTTCAATCACCAATACCTAAAAATATATAAAATAAAAAAAGGGCTGGGAATGTAGCTCAGTGGTAAAGCACCCCAGATTCAAACCCCAGTACTATAACTCACCCCCCCCCCAAATAGCCAAACATACAAAATCCCCAAAATTCATAGTTTAGGGTTTTGCTTCTAGCTAAGAAGAAAATAACAGGGACTGGATGTTCCCTCTCACCTTACACTATTAAAATACTGGACAATATGTATATATTAAAAAAAACTGGTTTTAAGACATTGAACATCAGGTAAGAAAAGACACACTATTGCCCAGCTATTTTCTGGTCTGTGGTTTATGGAGAGGAAACTCAGATGGAGCCCCTCAACTTCCCTGAATAGAGAGAGAACAGAGTCAGGGGAAGGCAAGATGGCTAGAGTTTACAGAGCAGAGTACCAGAGAGTAGAGAGCTGCACAAAGAGAGAAGTTCAAAGGTCTGCAGAGGGCTGCCTTGAGGATCAGCTGAATATTGATCAGATGGTATTAATAGTAGATTAGTAGGAGGCTGAGGCGGGAGGACCACAAGTCTGAGGCCAGCCTCAGCAACTTAGTGAGGCCCTAAGCAACTTAGTGAGACACTGTCTCAAAATAAAATAAAAAGGGCTAGAAATGTGGCTCAGTGATAAAGTGACCCTGGGTTCAATCTCCAATACCAAAAAAAGTTTATTAGACAATACAGTAGAAAGATTAATAAAACTGAAGACACCACAATAGAAAACTAGCAAATGATAGGAAAAAAAGACAAGTAAAAATGATAAGCATGCAGAGCATCAGTAAGCCGTGAAACAACTTTGAACAGTCCAATATACATGCAATTGGAGTCCCCAAAGTGGAGGAGAGGGAAAAACAGGAAAATATTGGAAAATTAATGGGCAAAATTCCAAATCTGATTTTAAAAATATAAATCCAGAGATCCAAGAAGTTAAATGACATGAAGAAACATGACAAAAACTCTTAAGATACAATATAGTCAAATTTCTTAAACTTACTGATAAAAAGAAAAAATTTAAACCAGCTAGAGTAAAAGGGCACATTTTATACAAAGGACATACAAAGTTATTCAGAAATTATAAAAATTAAGGTTATTAGACCTCTTGTTGATTAATAAGCAAGTCCTTCAACGCATAATCTTCAAAATACTAAAAGAAAAAATCTGTTCACTTGTGTTCTATACCCAGTGAATATTTTTCTCCAAAAATGAAATAGTTTTTAGACATAAAAAAGTTGAAAGACTCTATCACCAACAAACCTGAACTATAAGAAATATTAAAGGAAGTACTTCAGGCAGAAGGAAATGTCACCAGATGGAAATCTGGATCTATGTAAAAGAATGAAGACCCTAAGAAATGGTAACTATATAGGTTAATATAAAGACTTTCCTTATTATTATTTAAATATGTTGAAAAGATAATTGACTATTTAAAGCAAAGTAATAACTTTTTTTTTTTTTTTTTAACCAGGGATTGAAACCAGAGGCGTTTTATCACTGAGCCACATCCCTAGTCCTTTTTATTTTTCACTTTTGAGACAGGGGCTCACTAAGTCACTTAGAAACTTGCTAAATTGCTGAGGCTGGCCTCAAACTTGAATCCTCCTATCCTTTTATCTTTGCCTCCTGAGTTGCTGGGATTACAGATGTGAGCTTCAGGGCCCCACATGTGAAAGTAGAACCATATGATGATAGCACGATATCTTATAGAAGAGAAATATAAGTATACCATTATAAGCTTACAGTTCTGTATGTGAAGTCATATATCATTTGAAGGTAGACTGTGGTAAATAAAAGGTTTATAAATAAATCATAAAGTAATCACTAAAATAACACAAAAAAGAAATAGTAAATAAGCCAACAAATAAAATAATTCAAAAGGCAGGGGAAAAGGAAGAGGGAACAGGTGGGACAAGCAGAAAATAAATAGAAAGTTGGGCATGGTGGTGCATGTCTGTAATCCCAATTACTTGGGAGGCTAAGGTCAAGGCCGTCATGGGTAACTTAGCAAGACCCTGTCACAAAATTAAAAAGAAAAAAAGGGAGAAAAAACAAAAAGAAAAGAGAAATGAATGGTAAGATAGTAAGTTTAAATCCAACCACAATCAATAACATCATTAAATGTAAATGGTTTAGACGTCTCAACAAAATGTCAAAGACGGTCATACTGAATTTAAAAAAAAAATAAAAGCAGGGTCTGGGGTTGTGACTCATTGGTAGAGCGCTTGCATGCATGTGTGAGGCCCTGGGTTCGATCCTCAGCACCACATAAAAATAAATAAATAAAATAAAGGTATTGTGTCCAACTACAACTAAAAAATAAATATTAAAAAAGTAAAAAAATAAAAGCAAGACACAACTATATGCTGCCTTTAAGAAGCCCACTCTAAAGACATGAATAAACATAAAAGAATAGAAAAAGATACATCAAGTTAATACTAATTAAAATGAAGTTAAATTAAAAAGTGGCTAAATTAATATCAGAAAAAGGAGAGTTTAGAGCAAAGAGTATTTTCAGAGACAAAGAAATTTATATTACAATGATGAAAAGTTCAAACTTAAATATCTATTCTTTAATAAGACAGTTTCAAAATATATGAATCAAAAACTGATAGAAATGCAAGGAGAAAAATATATCTATAACTGTAGCTGGAGATTCTAACAACTCTATTAAAAACTGATAAACATCAGGAAGGATATAAAGATAACTTGACTAATACTATAAATCAGCTTCACCTGATTAACATTCACAGCACACTGCACATAATGATAGCATATTCTTTTCAAATACAAATGGAACATTTACCAAGATCCATTATATTCTGGGCCACAAAACAAATTTCAGTATATTAGAGAATTCAAACTTCACAAAGTAGGTTATCATAAAAATAAAACAACAGAAAGATGGCTGGATAGTCCTCAAATGTTTGGAAACTAACACCCTTCTAAATACTCAATTGTTCAAAAAGAAGAAATCGAAAGGGAAATTTAAAAGTATTTTGAATCGGGCTGGGATTGTGGCTCAGGGGTGGAGTGCTTGCCTAGCACAGGTGGGACCCAGGTTCAATCCTCAGCACCACATAAAAATAAAGGCATTGTGTTGTGTCCATCTACACCTAAAAAATTAAAAAAAATTTAAAAATGTATTTCGAATCAAATAATGCATAGGGTCAAAGAGTCACTTTTCCAGCATAACATAGATAATCAGAGAAGGACCCTGCATTCAAACATAAGTGATGTGGCTCCTGAGGCCATCCTCTTAACTACAACATTAGCCATGATAGATACAAAGAAACCAGGGCCTGAAACCTTGAATATTCACCAAAGTTACCCAGCTAGTAAGTGGGATTCAGTTCCAAGTTTTTTTTCCCTACCTTTCTCCTTTGTCTTCCTGTGTTAGCCTTCCCATAGTCAGACCTCCTAAGATTAGAATTTAGGTTTGGCTGCAACTGTGAGGTGATCCTTGGGGAGAAGAGCCCAGGTTAATGCCTAAATTATAACATAAAAGGACTAGTGGGAAGCATGTCAGTACTTAGTCCAAGGTAAGATGTAAAACACCTGAACCATTACAAACGTCTGAGGGCTGGGGGTTCCTGACCCAAGTGGATAAGACAAAACAAAACAAAAATCTCCAGAGGTTGGAAAAGGAAAGGAAAATGCCATAACTGAGATGTGAATAGAAAAATCCTGCCCTCTAATAAGGAAGCCTGGTCAGAACCTTAGCCAGTTCTATAGGCTATTATCAGACAATGTCTGTGTCCAACAGTGGGAATGGAGAAAGAGAAAGACTGGAGATATTTATGAAGAAAAGAAAAGTCTGCAATTTGGAATCAGGCCAGAACTCTGAAGTTCTCCACTGTTATTTTTTTCCTTGTGATCCTTAAATAAGAAATTCACCTTTCTGAGCCTTGGTTTTCAAATCTGTAAAATGAAAATACAATCATATCTTTTTGAAAAGCTATTATAAGGGGTTGGGGATGTGGCTCAAGAGGTAGCGTGCTCGCCTGGCATGCGTGAGGCCCGGGTTCAATCCTCAGCACCACATACAAAGATGTTGTGTCCTCTGAAAAACTAAAAAATAAGTATTTTTTTTTTTTAAAGAGAGAGAGAGAGAGAGAATTTTTTAATATTTATTTTTTAGTTCTCGGCGGGCACAACATCTTTGTATGTGGTGCTGAGGGTTGAACCCGGGCCGCACGCATGCCAGGTGAGCGCGCTACCGCTTGAGCCACATCCCCAGCCCATAAAAAATAAATATTAAAAAATTTAAAAAAAAGAGAAGAAAAGCTATTATGAAAATGATGTAATATGTAGAAACAGCCACCTGGATACTTCACAAATAATCAGAACTCAGTGATTGATACCTGTTCCTCATAATTATGAGCAGACACACGAGTTTGGATAAGGCTCTGTAGTGTGTACGCACTTTGCAACTTGGAATGTAGCACCTAGGATATGTTTATCCGTTGATTATGAGTTGCTTCGGACTAGCCTCTAGATGCCAGGCTAGTCCTAGGCCCTAGGAATACAAAATCCTTACTGAGCTTAAATTCTAGGGAAAAACATATTTAAGAACCATTTTAGATTCAATGCTATTATTTCAGTGGGGCTAAATATGACAGAAGAGAAATACAGGGTATTTAAATGGAATATAATGAGGAAAAAAAGATCCAGCATGAGAAATCAGGGAGAATTCTCTAAAAAAAAAAAAAAAAAAAAAAAAGATGTTTAGTCTAAAATCTAAAAAGCAGAAGAAAACTGGGCAAAAAGAGGGATGTGTATGTGCGAGGCAAAGAGTTGATGGCTACATGGCAGAACCTGCAGAGAGGAAGAGAGGAGGCTAGAAAGGAGGCAAGGCCTGTGGACCAGGTTTCTACACTGGTAGAATCAGACAACCTGTTGGCTCTTAGAGCTCTAAATGTTTTATTTTTATTTTTAGCTGTAGATGTTCATAATACCTTTTTTTTCCCCCCTGGTAGTGCTGGTGATTGAACCCAGGGCCTTGTGCATGCAAGGCAAGCATTCTACTAACTGAGCTATATCCTCAGCCCCCATGATACCTTTATTTATTTTTATGAGCTGCTGAGGATCAAACCCAGTGCCTCACATGTGCTGGGCAAGTGCTCTACCACTGAGCTACAAGCCTACCCCGTGATCTAGATGTTTAAGAATCTATGGACAGGGAACTGGAACCAGGATAGGGCCCAGGGGCTCCCTTACCGTGGCTGTCAGCTTCCAGAGGTGGCCATCTGGCTTACCATTGAGATGAGTCCCTAGAGGTCTGTCATCTGTCAGCTCCAGATGCTGCCAGATCCACTTGTAATAGTAAGGGGAGGTCTGAAGGTCTATCAGCCGCAGGACTTCACAGCTGCCCTGGACACATCAAAGGTCACAAACAAAGGATTAAACCCCAATACTCTAGGCAAGCCAGGCTTTAAAGATAAGCTTTCTATATTGCATCTTACCCCAGTTCGTTGTATTTGCTAATGCAAGTTGTTTCATGTTTTTTTTTTTCTTAATAAAAGTGTTATTTACTTATCAGAAAAAATCCAAACAACTACAGAAGCATAGAAACTAAGTACAAGGCTGGCACTGGGGAAAAAAATATCACCACAGAGGACATTACTGGGACAGTCAGTGAAACTGATCATGAACTCCAGATTATATATTCTATAAACATTAAAAGTCCCTAATTTTGGCAGATGTGGTGGTGCACGCCTGTAATCCAGTGGCTTGGGAGGCTGAGGCAGGAGGATCGTAAGTTCAAAACCAGATTCAGCAAAAGCGAGGCACTAAGCAACTCAGTGAGACCCTGTATCTAAATAAAATACAAAATAGGGCTGAGGATGTGGCTCAGTGGCCAAATGCCTGTAAGTTTAATCCCTGGTATCCCCACCCCTGAAAAAAAGTCTCTAATTTTGGTAATTATTCTGTAGTTAATTTTTATCTTAGAAAATAATCATTTAAGTATTATGAATGATACTTAACTTTTAAAAGTTTCAGGTGAGGAAAAAAATACATATAAGAGCAAAAGTAGCAAAATATTAACTGGTGAATCTGGGTTACAGTTTTTCGGGAGTTCTTTATCCTATTCTTGAAATTTTTCTATAAATTTAAAATTATTCCAAAATTAAATAAAATTATTCAACCAAACAGAATAAGATTAAGTTAAAACCACATTAAATCTAACACCCAGAAATAACTAGTAGCAATATATTATGAAATGTTATTTCAAACTTTTCTCTATGAACACATACGAATTATAAACATACAAATGCTCATAAATGAGTTATGTAACACAGACTCTCTCATGCCAAAAATATTTTATGCATCATGATTTTTTAATGATTGGATATTATTCTATATATACTATACTTTATAAAATTAAAAACAAATATTCGATTGTGCAAAAGAAGTCAATCAAAATGCAAAGAGTACAAACTGTATGATTCTATTTTATATGAAGTTCAAAAACAGGCAAAAGCAATCTGTGATGACACCGGTCATAAGAGTGGTTATCTCCATGGGAAAATTCTGTCTGAGAAGGGCACAAGGGGGCCTTCTGTAGTGCTGTAAATGTTCTTTAACTAGACTGGGGCAAGGATTACATTGGTGAACACATATGCAGAAAATTGTATAGTTTAGATTTGAAATCTTACTGCATATAGGTTATTTCTCTGAAAACATTTTTTTCAAGATTCATATTTGATTGTCTCAATCTGTCAGTATTATATACAACCATAATTTGTTTAGGACAGAAAAGTCCCAAGTTTAAATGGGGAGGGGAGAGAACTCAATCACCTTCCCAGACTCCTCTAGTGGGGTGCCAATGACCTAGTTCTAGCTAATGAAATATAAGTGAAAGACTGCTAGATAAGACTCCCAGGAAAGCTATTGTCCTTCTCCTTCCCTCTGCCTGAAACTCAAATGTGGTGGTTGGTGATGAAACAGCCATACTGTGAACATTAGAAATAAAGCCAGGGGCTGGGGATGTGGCTCAAGCGGTAGCGCGTTCGCCTGGCATGCGTGCGGCCCGGGTTTGATCCTCAGCACCACATACAAACAAAGATGTTGTGTCTGCCGAAAACTAAAAAAAAAAAAAAAAAAAAAATTAAAAATTCTCTCTTCTCACTCTCTTTAAAAAAAAAAAAAAATGATCTCCATACTTCCCACCCTTCTGCCTTTCATGCTTGCTCGAATCCCCTATTTGCTCTTTTTTTTAAAAAAAAAGAAAGAAAGAAAGAAAGAAAGCCACAAGTGTGGAGGCACTAGGTTTGATTCTCGGCACTGCATACAAATAAATGAATAAAATAAAGGTCCATCAACAACTAAAAATATATTAAAAAAAAAAAAGAAGAAGAAAAGAAAGCCACAGCTAGATATCAGGAAGGGAAAAGCTAGCAGGGGCCTGGATTCTTGATGGCTTCCTAGAACAGTTGTTCTAGTCCCAGAATGCTTCATTCTAGACTATTACATGAGAAAAATAAATTACTATTTAATAAGCCACTTGCAATTGGCTTCTGTGGCCTGTATCAGAGAGCAATTCTAACAGATATTCTGTGTCCTACAGGAGGACATTAAAGCAGTTCACAAATACTCAATTTCTCGCAGGCACATGGCAGGATTGGACTTTTTAACCCTTTGATGAATTGGGCCTAGGGCATAGCCTTTTTATTTGCTTGGATGAATTTTCTTAGATTTTCTAGCAAAAGGACTCATGATACTCTTGAGTGGAAACTTTAGAGGTCAGTGCTTGATTCTCATCTCTCTTCTTTCTCTATTCTAGGGATTAAACCCAGGGCATTGCACATGCTAGGTAAGCACTCTACCATGAAATACAACCCTAGCCCCACTGCTGATTCTCAACATTCCTTTCTCCTGAGAATGTCTATGCTTCCTTGATCATGCAAGCACGAGTCTATGAGTCTCCAGTGGCTTTGGCCCTTAAGTGACCAAAAGGAGCAAGACCTCCCTGATGACCCGCTATGGGCAAGTAGTGTAATGGAGAAAACCTTGGTTCATTACTCCTGAGACTTGAGAATTATATCCTAAATAATACCCATGTTTTATTATCTTCTTGAGAATAATTCCTAAAGGTATGTGTGTTTTAAATTTTGATACACATTGCCAAACTGCCTCCCACAAAGATAAGCTCTGTTTATTCCCTCAACAGTCCATGAAACAGTTCATTGCATATTTGCCAACACTGAGTTTTCACAATCCTTTTAATCTTTGCTAATCTGACAGGTTAGAAAGAAATGTCATCTCTTTTTTAATTTCCTATTTTTAAAAAATTTTTAGTTGAAACTCTAGGAGACACATTATAAAGGGGCGAGTTTCAAGACAGATTACTGTTGGCAAGGAAGAAGAAGGGAATAAACATTTAATAAGCCTTATTATATGCCAGGCATTGTGCTTGGATCTTTACTCAACATTCATTCAACAAACATTCATTACCCAGGAACTATAGGTGCCTTACAAAAAATGAGAACAGTTTGCTCTTGGAAAAGTCTCTTGTGGGTCTTAAAATTGCAGCAGTATCTGTGGAGAGATCAGTTTTACCATGTGTCCCCAAATGATAAGCTACTCAGAACGAATTGATTATAGACATTATATTTGTGACGCCAGCAGGAAATCACATTTTCTGACTTTCTGCAGTCGGAAGGATGCCCAGCTGCTGATTTCGCCCTCTGGTGGCAGTATAAGTAAAGTACAGTAATCAGGACTGCAGAGTTTCCCTCCCAGAGGAAGAACACTCAAGGCACTGACCAGGCAGGAAATAAAAGTGAGAAAAAAGATAAGTCCTTTTAGATGGCACAGGCACTTTTCAGTTCCAACCATAGTGGGCCATACCAGAATACATCCTGGTGTTTTCTGATCTTCTGAATTTCAAAGTTAGTAATCAAAATGTTTATGTACAAGCTTCACATGAATGATTAAATCAGATTTTAGTAATATACCCAAAAGGACAAACCAAACTCATCTGCTGGCTAAGAAATAAGAACCCCCTAACCTGCTGTCACTCTGTGACCTCTGTATTTCTTTTATCAGAATGAAGCCCAAGCTCCCCTCCATTAGAATCACCTATAGCACTCACTCCACTGCAGATTCCACAGTAATGAACTAATCTCTACAGAGATAGGAATCTGCCTTTTTAAAAAACACCTGAGGAGGGCTAGGGATGTGGCTCAAGCAGTAGCGCCATGCGTGTGGCCTAGGTTTGATCCTCAGTACCACATACAAATAAAGATGTTGTGTCCGCCAAAAACTAAAAAATAAATATTAAAAAATTCTTTAAAAAAATTAAAAAATAAAAAGCACCTGAGGGGCTGGGGGCTGGGATTGTGGCTCAGCGGTAGAGCACTCACCTAGCACAGGCGGGACCTGGGTTCGATCCTCAGCACCACATAAAAAAAAAAAAAAAGCCTTTTCATCATTACCAAAATTTGAAAACACCTCCCTTAGATTAGGGATTCTACAACTTAAGTGTGCATCAGAGTCATCTGGAAGGCTTGTTAAGACACAGGTTACTGAGCCCTCCCTCCCAGAGTTCTGGATTTAATAGCTCCTGTGTGAGCCTGAGAATTGCATTTTTAATCAGTGATGCTGATGGCCAAGTGATGCTGATGGTCTAGTCACTGAGAACCAATGAACTAGTGCATGAATGTTAACTGAGTAAGTATGTGCTAAATTAATTTTCATTACCAGAATTTATGAGGTGAGTGGTCCCATTTTACAGATAAAGGAATAGAGGTAAAAACAGATTAAGAACCATCCCCAACTATGTGCTAATTTGAATGTAATCAACATACTAATTAAAAGAAGTCTTGAATTTTATATTCCTCATCACTCATCCCCCCTCAATTTATTCTGGCTCTATGGAAAGAGCTGAAGCTGGGCATGGTGGTGCACACCTGTAATCCCAGTGACTCAGAAGGATTGAGGCAGAAGAATCACAGGTTCAAGGTCAGCCTCAGCAACTTAGTAACACCAACAGAAACTTAGTAAGACCCCGTTTCAAAGTGAAAAATTAAAAAGAGCTGGGGATCCAGTTCAGCGGTAAAGGGCTCTGGTACCAAAGAAATACAAAATTAAAAAAAAAAATCTGATAAAATCCATTTAGAAGGCTCGGAATTGGTACCAAAAAAATTTAAATATTAAAAAAAAAAAAAAGGAAGCCAGGCTTGTGCACGTGCCTGTAATGCCTGCAATCCCTGTGGCTCAGGATAGAGTTCAAAGCCAGCCTCAGAAAAAGCCATGTGCTAAGCAACTCAGTGAGGCCCTGTCTCTAAATAAAATACAAAACAGAGCTAAGGCTGTGGCTCAGTGGTTGAGTGCCCCCGAGTTCAATCCCTGGTACAAAAAAAAAAAAAAAAAAGAAGAGAGTTGTCTGGGGATCTACGGCATTTCATGGCTGCAGAGGTGATTACCTTAAAATTTTAGTAAAGAAGCAGCAGATAACAGAGAGGAGAAAAAAATGTGAATTATTCAGTTGGCTTTCAGGGCTCTCTGATTCTAGACTTTTCAACCCATCTCCCACCTCTCCTCAGATGATCATTAGGAGTTTCCAAACTTAGGTAAACCCCAGGCATATTCCTACTGTGTGTATGGCTCCACACTATTCCCCTCAGCTGGCAATGACCTCATCCCACCCCCCTTTGTAAAGGCCCAACTCTTTTTTTAATTTGTAGAGAATGAAAGCCAATTTTTCTTTTAATTTCCCAAGCTTCCTTGAAGTAAATATTCTGGATGTGATTTGGGTTCCACCAATTCAGTGTTACTGGACCAGGTTTGGGTTTGGAGGTACCAGCAATCCACTTGTTACTGGAGGTGGGGCCTGCAGGAGTGGCTTCTTGAACATGGCAAGGGCAGTAGTACCTGTGACAGTCCAGTTCTGGCCTATGATTTAGAGTTGTCTTGGAGTCATTTTTAGTCCATGGTCTGTTTCTATAGTTCCCCACCACTCCACTCATCAGCAAATCTGTTACAATTTATCATCCTGCAATAAAATGCCTTTCTATTTATATTAGATAAACTTGATTCTGTTCTCCAGGACTGAACCCAGAATAACACACTCCTAGTGGTGTGGTAGGTTTAACAACTTGGCTCTCTGGAAAAATATAACAATATTTGTAAATTTTACTGCTATATAAGTGATGTATCACCACAATTTATAATAAAATATACTACAGTCTTACTGGCAATTCCATATAACCAATCAATTCTTAAGGATGCTTTTGTGGGTACTGGCTGGACTCCTGTACTGATGACCAAACTACAGTTGAAGTTCAACTATGATTTGACAAATGAAACTGCATCCCAATCCACCCTTCCCAATAAGTTTAATGGTACTAAATCTTATTTGTGATCTACTATTTAACTATTTCCCATCTTCACATACATTATATTCATTACATTGAAACTTGTTTTAGGGCTGGGGATGTGGCTCAAGAGGTAGCGCGCCCGCCTGGTATGTGTGCGGCCCAGATTCGATCCTCAGCACCACATACAAAGATGTTGTGTCCACCGAAAACTAAAAAATAAATATTAAAATTCTCTCTATATATATCTTTTTCTCTCTCTAAAAAAATAAAAAATAAAAACATAGCCACGTTAAAAAAAAAAAAAGAAACTTGTTTTAGTTTTAACACTATGTATTTCAGAACTTCACTTGTTCACCAAAGATGTAAGTTCCATGATGAATAAAATACTGAGAATGTATGCCAGTATACCAGACCTAACTTAGGGTATTTGTTGATTCTCACTGTATAAATAGTACCACCATGCCTGATTTTAAGTTAGCAATGTGAGTTACTGAATGTGGAATTGGGAAGAGGCACACAATTATAAAGTTATTTCTACTATACAGATATAGACGACATGACCTAAAGAGCATAGATAATAGTAAAATGCAGCAACATTAGAAAATGGTGAGTTCTTGGTAATACCTTTGATTCCAATATAATTTATTTAATTATAGGCTTATATAATTTTAATAAGTACTGTGTTTACCAACTCTGAAAATTTGACAATCAGTTCTTACAGGCAGGTATAAGCCAACTCTAGTACATACCCAATCTTGCCCCCTCCTTTTGTCCAGTGGTTCAATACCTTCAAGGCTCATCATCTTCCTTACATCCTACAGGAAGCCTGACTTAAGGCCTCCAGCCTTTGGAGAGTTCCCTCTTCTGAATTCTTAGAACTCAGTTTGCACCTGTCGCTTGGTACTGGCATTGACAACTTTGTCTATGCTCTGATCTAGTGGAGGAGATTATATATAAAAGAGAACCAGTTTTTTCCTCTCTGTAGCCCTTCAGATCCTGTACTAATATGTCACGACCTTGGCAAAGACTCAACAAATATCTGTAGTGGTTTAACATGTAAGGAATGACAGGTCAACTCAAATCCCAGCTCCTGAGAAGAGCTTTGGAATCACAGACTGTGCTGAAAAACAAAACAAACAAAAAAAACCCTACTACATCTACTGTGTGACATTGGATAGCCACTCTACCTTCCCATATATCAGTTTCCTCCTCTATTATATGGGAATAATGACCATATTCACCTCTTTGGGTTATTGTGAGACTGGAATGATTTAAAGCATGTAAAGCATGGCCAAAGATCTTATCTGTAGTTTTAGTTACCTACAGTTTACTATAGTACAAAAATATCAAATGAAAATTTCCAAAAATATACAATTTGTAAGTTTTAAACTGTATACCAATCTGAGTAACATGATTAAATCTATTGCTATCCTGCTCTGTTCTTCCTAGGATGTGACCCATCCTTTTGTCCAGCATTTCCATGTTACCCAGTTAGTCACTTGTAAGTTGTCTTGGTTATCAGATTGAATGTCCCAGAATCACAGTGTTTTGTGTTCAAATAACTTTTATTTTACTTAATAATAGTCTCAAAGCAGAAGAGAAGTGATGCTGGTAATTCAAATATGCTAAAGAGAATCTATAAAGAGCTTTTTTAAGTACCATCTCACATCATCACAGTAAGAGTTACATAAGTACAATAACATATTTTAATAGAGCACAATCTCATAACTTTCATTATGGTATGTTATTATTGTTCTATTTTATGATTATTATTAATATTTTACTGTGCCTAATCTATAAATTAAACTTTATCATATGTATAGGAAAAGACACAATACAAAGAGGGTTAGGTATATCCAGTTTCAGACATCTACTGGAGGTCTTGGAATGTATCTCCCCCCCATAATAGGGTACTACTATATATCCTAAAGTTTACAGCAACCCTTCACATCCAACATGATGTGAAGTATGATGCTTGCCTGTTCCAGCTAGGACATGGTAAGTCAGAAAAGGAACAGGACTCAAACACTGCCTGTCTGGCCACAGGCCACTATGCTGGATACACACTTCCCAGCTTCATCTTCAACCCCAGACTTCTCACCTTGCAGATCAACATGACGAAGGAGGACTCAACAAAGTCTTTTTCGATCAGCTGCCCATATGAGTACTTCTCTATCTTCCCCAAGGTTACTAGCTGCCAGAGCTTCTCATCAGACCACGATTGAAAAAGATCCAGCTTTCTGAGGGGAAATGGCTGTTAGAATTCATCACCTTTGTTGGGCACAGTGGCACATGATTATAATCCTAGCAGCTCAGGAGGCTGAGGCAGGAGGACTGCAAGTTCAAAACCAGCCTCAGAAACTCGGCAAGGCCCTAAGCAACTAGTAAAAACCTATCTCTAAATAAAAAATTTTAAATAAACGAATAATGGGCTGGGGATATGGGTCAGTGATTAAGTGCCCCTGGGTTCAATCCCTGGTACCAAAAAAAAAAAAAATCCCCTTTATCATACAAGGCTCCCAGATCTTAATACTCTCCAGAAAGGGAACTCACCTCACTCTTCAACTCTTGAAATATCTAGGTGGAAGATTTTACCACCACCCACTCCGTGCCTTAGCCCACAGCCAATCTTCTACATCTTCTCAAGGCCTCCCCTCTAGATAAGTGCCCCTCCTTTGCTGCTATTCAGATACCTCTGGGTGATCCAGCTCTCTGTTTTTCTCATTTCTGCTCCTCCCTTCAGGAACCTTCTCCCCAGTCCATCCTTGCTGTTCCATCCCAACCACGTGGCTCACTAAGCTAACCCTACATTCCAAGGACTATCCTCCAGGATAGTTCCTTACTTCAGCTCACAGACTATCTGGTACCCTGCCCAGCAGTCCTGGTCCTACCTTTGGCTTCAAACCCATCTCCCTCTGCCTTAATGGCTTCAAATACTCAATTCTAGGTTGGGTAAACAGGGAACATCCTTACTCTCCTCTTTGCCAGTTGCTCCCTGTGGTTGAAGGCCTATCCTACAGTGATAGCTTCTTCCCCTGACCTTGTGTACCACTAGTTATGGGCTTGCCTTCCCTCATATGTGACCCATCAGGCTGTTCTCAGTCCCAACAGGTTATGGGCTCAGAATTGACTACATTAGTCAATTCAGGTTAACTCAAGATAACTCAGGCCTCAAAAGTGCTGAGTTCATTTCTAGTGCCAATGAGAAGAGGTTCAGTGCCATGTTCAAAGGCACAAGGGTCTGGAGAGACAGAAGAAAAGTAAGGCCACCACAGGAAGAGTACCTCCTATGTGCCATGTATAGGACCACAACCTTCTCATGATCATCTCATTCCATCCTTACAATGAACTTTACCCCCTTTTACAATGAATCATTACCCCCATTTTATAGAACAGAAGGCTAAAGCTCAGAGAAATGAAGTGAACTACCCAGAGTCACATCACTGATAAGCCTGTTAAACAGAATTTGTGTAAGTCCATGGGAAATTAAAATCCATGTATGTATAATATGTCTAAATACACTCTACTGTCATGTATATCTAAAAAGAATTTGGACTGGGCTCCTACAATGGATCCACAGACCAACCCAATAAAGTCTAATTACATAACCAAGTTTTAGCTGGGTGCAGAAGGCCCTATATTAGCCAGTTAACTTACTACACTGTAGATAATTATTTTAAATGTATTCAATTGACTGGTTGACTGACTAGGGTATAGCCAGTTTTCTATGCCTCATTTCTGCTTTCCTATCAATAGCGTCTGTTCATACTGGTGACTAGAGTTCTTAAAACCCGCTTTGATTCTGGGAGCTGCCTGATTTTCAAACTGTTTTTCTTTTGTTTTGCTTTATTCAAATAATCTCTACTAAATTTAATTGGTCTAGGGAATTTTCCTTTTAACAAGCCTATTATGGTTTGGATATGAGATGTCTCTGAAAGCTTACGTGTGAGATGGTGCAAAAATGTTCATAGTTGAAATGAGTAGATTATGAAAGCTGTAACCTCATCAGTGATTAACCAATTTGATGGATTAATAACATGAAGGTACTACTATACAAGGTGGTAACTATAAGCAGGTAGGGTAAAGCTGGAGGAAGGAGGTCACTGGGGGCTCATCTTTGGAGTTTTATTTTGTCCCTGGAACCTCTCCTTCTGCTTCCTGGCTGCCATAAGCTGAGCGGTTTTCCTCTGCCATGCCCTTCTGCCATGGTGTTCTGCCTCACCTCAGACTCAGAGCAATGGAGTCTTCTGATGATGGTCTGAATCTCTGAAATGGTGAGCCCAAAATAAAATTTGCCTCTTCTAACTTTTTTTTTTTTAGGTCTTTAAAAAATTCTTTTTAGATATACATGGCAGTAGAGTGTATTTAGACTTATTATACATATATGGAATATGATTTCCCATTCTTGTGGTTGGACATGATGCGGAACTACGCTGGTCACGTATTTGTATATGAACATAGGAAAGTTATGTCCAATTCATTCTACTGTCTTTCCTATTTCCATCCCCCCCTTTCCTTCCCTCATTCTTCTTTGCCTAACCCAATGACCTTCTATATTCTTTCCCCCACATCCCCCAACTTGTTTTTGTCAGGTATTTTGGTCACAGCAATGAAAAGCTGACTAACACAAAGCCTAGGAGCTGAAATTGGAAGTCAGACATATTTTTCCAGTTTCAGAAGATGAACTGCATCTCCTTTCAGAACTAATTCCCCATTTTTCCAGGCTCCATACCCTTCATGACACTACCTCTTTCAGAGAAGCCCAGACCCCTTTGCCCAGAACACTTCCATATAGCTGTGCAACCCTGCAATCTGTATTTTCACAGCCAGTGCAGATAATGTCATTTGGGTTTCCTCTCTTCCTCATAAAAGCAAATAACCAAAGAACAAATAGGTTTAGTTTATACATCTTTATGTGGTCTTTCAGAAAGAACTCAAAACAAAAATCTTGTGCTATATATGAGTTCTGCTTTTAGGTTGTTATATAGAGTACCTAGAGTACTTTATATCCTGTTATTCATTTTATTCAATATTTATTTGTTAATGTGTCTGGCACCATGTCAACATGAGGATACAACAGTGAAAAAGACAAATCTTGTCCTGGCCACCACATTGCTTATAGTCTGATGGGGCATATAAGCTATAAAGAAACTATCATGCAACGAAGAATTACAGTATAGACAGGGATTTTAAAGAAACAGGAAGCAAGAAAAGCACAGATGGAGCATCTTTTCTATTCTGGGTCAAGGAAAGGTGACGTGAATTAGTGAAGCTCAGGGACTTCTGAATCAGACACGCCAGGCATATCATCAAATTGAGCCTTGGTTTTCTCATAAAACTGAGAAACTTGGTTCTATAAACTGAGGAAAGTAAGAGAAACAATCTCATGGGTTTAAATGTAAGATTAGATGCTACAAGTGGTACAAAGTTCTTGGCACCCTGCCTGACCCAACAAGAACTCAATCTTCATTATGTATTCTTGTATGTTTCCCATCATGCCTAGGACAAAGGCAAGCACTAATAAACAAAGAAGGGTAAAAAGATGTTGAATGGAGTTACCTAAAAAATTCAAATCGACTCTCAGCATCCTTTTGAACTTCTTCATCCAGCTTATTAGCCAGGAAATCCTCCCTGTCAACAACCAGGAACTCTGTGTCCTCAAAGCAGACCACAGTGGCCCTCCTTGTTCCTATATTCAGAAGGCTCATTTCCTGTTGGGTAGTTAGAGACAAGGGCACACGTGAGCACCTCCAGTGTCCTGCTCATACCCCTGTACACATTTTCCATTTCCCCCTGAACTCTTTCCTCCCCAGAATGCAGGCTCATTGGCCTCCTCCATACTCCTGCTTGTTCCCTCACTGTGCCCCACTCTTCATTGCTGCTTGTAGAAAATGAGGCAACAGGTCTAAATAGGCCAGCGAGGAAACTGGAGAGGCCTCATGGAGGCCATCCAGTCACTGAATTTCTGAGAGGTTATATGGGGAACATGCTCCTTTATCATGAGACAAAAAGGTTAACTTTGGACATTACCTGGTCCAACTCACTCATAATATATATGACATGTAAGGACACTGAGACCCACGTGGATCAGTGACTTGCACAGAGTGTAAGGCAGGACAGGGCCTGGTCAAGAATTTTGAGCAAGACTCTTGCCACACTCCTAACCCCAGGTCAGGAAGCCATACCCTTCCCCTGGACTTACCCCGAAACAGCTGCCCCTGTGCAGCAATGTTGGATGGGGGTCTAGGAAGGCACTGCTGCCATCTTCATCCTCAGTCACTGCAACTGTACCCACATAGATGAAATAAAAGCTGCTACCCCTCTGTCCCTTCTTGAGAATCACACGCCTACGGCCAAACCTGGGAAAAAAAACATGGCCAGTTGACCCGGTAACAAGAGGGAAAAGCTCTGAACTGGTTGTGCTCTTTGCTCTGGGGTATGAAAGCACAGACCTGGACTAGAAGAAACTTCAGAACAGCCCAGTTCCTGTCCTTCAAGTTAGACCCCCTTCACTAATACCTAACCAGCTGCCTACCTTAGTTAGACTGAAGTCTTCTTACAGCAGAGCCTTGGCCAGACTTGTTCATGCTGTATGTGCTTAGACACATGGTAAATGCTAAGTGAACAGCAGTTGAGTAATAAAGAAACGTGAAAGCAATGGATGGGTCAACAGAGAAGCTAAATGATTATGAGCCCTTTAGAGTCAGATTAGCATCCAAATCCTATGTATGATCTTGGCTGTGTGACACTGGGAAGCTCAGGGTCCCTCTCTGACCTTCAGTTTCTCTTATCTATAAGATACAAATGAGCATGCCTGGAAAGAGAGAGGTCAATAGTCTTATTATGATCCCCAGTAGCTTACTACCCAACTGCACACCCTTAGGATAGAAGTACCCTGGCCTAGAGCAAACTAGGATTTAGTTCTTAAACTCAGACCCCACAGATGTTTCAGGAAAAGCCATTCTGGTTCAGGAAGAACTAATGCCAAGGCTACGACTTTGAGTGATTGGGAAGAGGTATTCTTTTTTTCCCACTGGAGTAAGACTGGATAGAAGTTAGAAGCTAGGACTATGGCAGCCAACTTGCTTGGATGAGGGGAGAGGGTGACTGACAGGGAGTTTTTTTTGTTGTTGTTTTGTTTTTAAGATAATGATGAACCTTTATTTTATTCATTTATTTATATGTGGTACTGAAAATCGAACCCAGTGCTTTACACATGCTAGGCAAGTGCTCTACCACTGAGCCACAACTATAGCCCCTGACAGGGAGATTTATATGAATGAAGAATCAAGAGATAGGGAGAGAGACAGAAAAACATTGGATCCTGATAACACTGAGTCCCTAAATCCAGCTGAGCCTGAAGCTGAAGAAACATCCCAGGACTTTTTATAGCCACCAATGCATTCCCTTGGGCTGTTTTCTCAGATTTGCAAATGGGAGAGAATCCTGTCTAAGCTGCTAATTCCAGTTCCAGAAATAATAAACAACCATCAGAGGGCTTTAATGATCACCACTTGCTTGATTTTCCCCCAGATCTTATTACCATCCTCAATCAAATCCATATTATCATCCTTATTTCTCTGATGAAGATACTGAGGCTCAGAAAAGTTAAGTGGCTTAGCTGAGATCACACTGGGGCAGATGGGGCATCAAATTCCTGAGCTTCAAGCAAAGTACCTTTGGCACCACTCTGCTGTGGAGTCTTTACAGACAGTGGTAACCTACTTTTCTTCCTTGGACTAGAACAAAGCAAATGGTCCTCTCTGCATGGAATGTTCTGGTCCATACCTCCATCTACAAGTCAAACTATTCAATTATCTCCTCTTGAAACTTGTGACCAAGCCAGCTTTGCCCTGAACATCACTGGGCATAAAGTATCCTGCACCAGTGATAAAAAAAAAGCTGACTTGTTGTGTTTATGTCATAGACTGACCAGCATGAAGGAGGATGTCTATGAACTATAATAATCTTATATCCTGGATTTTCAAAATAGGCCTAACCTCAAATATTCTGTTAGGTTGCCCCATGAAGCCATTGAGATGTCCTGGAAATGGCAATATTTCTACATGCCCACCTCTTAGACTTCTTTGGTACAAGTTATTTACATGGTAGTTTTTGTGTCACGGACCTTTGATAGTCTGGTGAAATCTTCATAGAATGATGTTTTAAGTATATAAAATAAAATCCAGCAGAGTGACAGCTGACAAATATTCTTAAAAACCCAAATTTGGGGTATAACAATATATGTATCTTTGCTAAGGCAGTGAATAACAAGATCTAGCAGAAGATAAATGACTACCTTGATTTTAAAGATGTGAACATAAATTATTTTTCAAGAAATCTGCTATAGGGCTGGGGTTGTAACTCAGAGTGCTTGCCTAGCATGTGTGAAGCACTGGGTTCAATCCTGAGCACCACACAAAAATAAATAAAATATAAATAATAAAGGTATTATATCCATCTACAACTAAACATATATATGCGTATATACGTATACACACACACACACACACACACACACACACTTTTAAAAAAGAAATCTGCCATAACTGGAACATGATGTGAAAAATCAAATTTCTTTAATGAAAAAGTATGTTGTTGCTTACCTTTAAGAAAGAAGAAAATGGGGCTGAGGCTGTAGCTCAGTGGTAAAGTGCTTGCCTCGAATGTGTGAGGCACTGGGTTCAATCCAGCACCACATTAAAAATAAATAAATACTATGTGTTCATCTAAACTAAACAAGCATTTTTTTTAAAAAAAAAAAAGGAAGAAAATGATACACTGATAAATTTCATTTAGAGATTAATGAAAATAAAGATTTTTTTTTGGTCATTAAAATTAAGATCCCATGGGCATGGTGGCCCATGCTTGTAATTCCAGCAGTTTGTGAGGTTGAGATAGGAGTATCACAAGTTCAAGGCCTTCCTTAGCAAGTTAGCTAGATGCTCAGCAACTTAGTGAGACACTGTTTCAAATGTGGCTCAGTGGTAAAGCACGTCTCGGTTCAATTTCCAGTACCAAAAAGAAAAAAAAAGAAAAAGAAAAAGAAGGAAATTCACAGACCCTATTCTAAGACCTACCTGGATATACAGCATAATCATCTGTGTTCCATTCTGACTTTCAAAGCCTGGATTTGAGTTTCAGCTCTGCTTCTTATTATCTAGTATAAATTCTGATTTAAATTTGCTTTTGTCCCCTCTGAAATTCATGTTGAAGCTTAATTCCAATGTGGAGTAATAAGAGGATAGAAACTTAATCCTACTATGATGGTTAGATGTAAGGCCTTTGGATGGTGATTAAGATTAGATAAGATTGGGATGGGGGTATAGCTCAGTGGTAGAGAATGCACTTAGTATGTGCAAGACTCAGATTTGATCTCCAGCACAGGGGGAAAAAGATTAGATAAAGTCATACAGATGGAGTCAACATGACAGAATATTGGTATATTTATGAGAGAGCCCGGAAAATATGAATATGTTCTCCCAGTCTCTCACCATATGATTCCTTGGGAGTTGGCCAAAGAGAAGGTCATCATCACTAGATGTGGCCCTTTGAATATAGATCAGACTACGATCCCTCCCTTTTTATATCACTTACCCAGTCTGTAGTATTTTTATTAGCAACATAAAATGGACTAAGACACTGGGTGTCTAGGATAAGTCTTTTCCCTCTCTGACCTCAGTTTCCTCATCTGACAAATGAAGGAAATGGACTTTCAGAGGTTCTTCCTAAAGCCTCTTCAGATTTAACAGCTCATTAAATCTAAGATTCAGTAAGTGAATAAAATAAGCTGTGCTGTCACCATAACAGTAAGCACCCAGGAAAACTGACAGACTTCATTGCTGATACTCTTCAGAGGGGTGGGTAGAACCTGCCACACCTTCTCAGTCAGGCTCTTCCTGCCCAGCCCAGTCCCACCCAAGCCCAGGGGCCAGAGGTATGCCCCTCTCTGACCTTTCAAAGCGCATGACCTTGGCCAAGAGCAGTTGTAGGGGCTCTGTATAGTTCCGGTAGCTATCCACAACCTGTAGGACATTGCAGAGAGCCTGGATCTCCTGTTCTGTCCTCCAGGAAGGCTTCTTCTGCGTGATCTGAATGGCCCTTGGAGGGAAGTGACCCTAAGGAGAGAGGCCCAGAGTGTCAGAGGACAAGCAGTTTCTCCCCACATTCCTGCTTGTATACTTTCCTGTATCCCCATACAATAATGGCTGACATATACTGAATGCTTAGGGTTTGCCAGACATTGGGATAAGCATCTTACACACTCATCTCACTGCATCCCCATTCAGTCCAAGAATCATTATGCCCATTTGAAAAATGAAAATACTCAGGCAGAATTATGAGCAGATCTGCCACATGCCAAAGTTCAAAACTCCCAGGCAATTTGGGCTCCTCAGACTCCAGGGACCCTGCAGCATCCTTTCAGCACAAGCACACTGGTAATCAGAGAACTTTGCTCACGTCTTAGTCAAGATGTTCTCAGTACTGGAACTAATCACACATGACTCACTAGATTGCCACCTATAAGCCTTGCCTATAACAATGGATTTTTCCCTGTGTGCCCTCTTCTATCCATCAACTGCTTTGCCCAGAATTGCCCTCAGCTCTAGAGTTCTGTGGCTCTCAGACAGGACCCCACATAAAACTTGGGTAATCTTCAATGCCCAATGTCAGACACTGGCTGGTCTTGAAATCTAAAGAAATACAGAATTTGGAAGACTTACTTGATTATGCTTCATTAATGAGAGGACATAAGAAATAAGATTATGTCCAGGAGAAGCAGGCAATAGAAACCATACTTTGGCTCCAAAAGGGTGAGGGGAAGAACAAGGATGGGCACAGGTGGTTCTAGTACCAATTTTAAGGTTCTGTTTTTTTCCTCTTTCCCCGAGAGAAAAATCAACATGGCTACTCTAAGACCAGGGTCAAGTTAGGCTGCATTAATGCAAACTTCAAATCTTCCTATAACTAGGTAGTTTCCTTTAAATTTAAACTGGAATTTAAATTTTAATTTAACATCTAAGATTTGGTGGGTAGAAGTAAGGAAGATAATAATGATGCCTGAAATTTAGAGAATAAGTCACATAGTGTAAAGCCTCACACAGATATAAAGCCATTCCCTCATCAAATGAAAAAACTTAAAGGGCATCCAACACCCATATGGGGGCAGGTGTGCCAGACATCTCTCAGAGTGCTCATCACAGAACCAGAATTCTCACTCAGGTCAAGAATTTTTCCACCACCTGGCTTCCTTCTCCTTTGTCTGGTCTCTCACATCCTATTTTGCTTTCTTTCGTTTTCCCATGAGTCCAAACCCAGAAACTCTGCTATTCAGTGACAACTGGTTCCACTCAGTTATTCAGTGACAACAGGTGCTCACAGTCTTAGAATGCCAGGGCTGGACAAGGTCACTAAAATCATCTATAGATGAGGAAAGTAAGTGGCTCAGTGGTGACATAATGGATAAGTGGCAGAGTCTGGACCAAAACCAGCTCTCCTGATACCTAGTGCTTCTTTGGCTATAATACAAACAGAACATCCCCCCACTATATTACAGGTGTGCATACCTCCTCAGCAACAAAGTCCTCGGTATCAAATATAATTCGGCCTTGCTTCTTTTTCTGAAAGAAATGAGGCAGGGAGAGAAAGGAGAGTCAGTAAGACTACTCCCGGAATTCTGTATCTGAGATCCTTCTGTGTACCTGAACCACTACAGTGGGCAGGAAGCAATAAGAAATGCCCTACCAGCTGGCCCTTCTATGTAAAAAGCCTCAACACAGCATACACCCATAATCTCAACAACTCAGGAGGTTTAGGCAGAAAGACTGCAAGTTCGAGGCCAGCCTCAGCAATATAAAAAGACCCTGTCTGGGGATGTAGTTCAGTGGTTAAGAGTGCCCCTGGATTCAATCCCCAGCACTAAAAAAAAAAAAAAACCCTAACTCAGCACTACACTGTTTTCCAGCCACAGCCATCAACATTATTGTGAAGGCAGAGAAAGGAAGAAAGGGTACAGAGAAAATAGATGATGAAGAGAGAAAAGGAAGAGGGAAAAGAAGAAAACAAACAAGAAAATATATATAGAAAAAGAGCAGGGATAAAAAGGAACAAATGAAGCAAGCTTTGTAAAATGTGTACAGTGAGCCAAGCATGACACACCTTTTTCACCTTACTCTGTTTAGTCATTAGAACAAAGCCCTATTTTGGGCTTGAGGTGAGTGAAGGAACTTTTTAAAGGACCTCACAGCAAATAAGTGGGCCAGGTGGATCTGAACCCAGGCTTTTCCTGGAGCATGGCCAGGAGAAGGGGTAACAGATCTCAGGGATGATCTAATCCAACCCTACCTTCTGACAGATGAATAGAGGATGTGGAGAGTAGAGAAAAATAGAAAGCGAGGAAGGAAAAAAAACAAGGCCCTGACCATCATTCTGGGTCAAACCAGGAAGCTCATTCTCTTAGGGGTATATCTCATACTATTCCCTACATCCCGCTGAGATCCCTGAATACCCCCCACCCTACCACAATTTAGCATTTTTGTATCCATGCAATGCTTCTCAGGAAGGCCACTGAAAGAAGTGGTGATGCTCTAAAATATTGATTTACTTTTAACTGAAAACCAGCCTCTGGCTGTCTACCTTACTTTGTGCTCCAGTCCCTAGCTCTCCACCTGACCCCTGGTAGACTGCCCTTGCAAAGCTTCTGCTCAGCCCAAAGTCACTCCGCGTGGCAATGTAGTTAGGTTTAGCTTCATGCTAAGCCTAAATCTGGGTCTTTAGCTTCCAACTTAAGCATGCAGCAGCCTGCATCTCCTGGGGAGCCCCCTGATCTCCAGGGCTCATTGCTTCACCACAGCATGCCACCCTGAGAATCAGTTTGTCCTTCCTGGGAGCAAACGTGAGTCTCTCAGGTTATAATTCTATTCCATCTCTTCCCTGTCTAATGGCCCAAATCATGTGGCTATAGATTTCTTTGGCTTGCCAGCATATCTAAAAATAGATAAACCTGAATATATTTTGAAAGGGCATATCTTCCTTCTCCAACTGGCTCATAAGCTCTACACCCTACTATCTATCTATCCATTTCCCGCCCCCCAACCCCAGTACTAGGGATTGAAGGCACTCTACCAGTAAGCTACATTTCCAGTCCTTTTTTATTTTGAAACAGGGTCTTGCTAAGCTGTTCAGGCTGGCCTCGAACATATAATCCTCCTGCCTCAGCCTCCCAAGCTGCTGGGATTACAGGCATATGCCACTGGGCTGGCTTCCCTGCTGTATCTTAACTTAGCTACCACACACATCAGTTAGATCACCTGCTGATCCCTTAGAAACCAACGGAAGGCTACCTTCCTACTCCCCATTACCATCCTCATTCTCCTCTTTAGCCACTATCTTTCAGAAATCACTGTGGGAAATTTCTTGGACAAGATGTGAGGGGTGGAGAGGAATTCTGGGTCTAATCACTCTTGGCACAAGAAGAAAATGGGCAGGACTTTTCCACGTATTAGCTGGGGAAATGCTAAAGCCTGGGAACACACCAATGGGAACACAGTAATGATATATCTTCAGGGAACCAGGTCAAGTTAACAGAATGGTGACCAAATTTTCACCATTTCTGAGCCAAAAAGACCCCTGATCTACTACTGGGATAAAATACTTTTAAGTGGGAACTTCTAGAAAGTCTAAAAGCAGGGTCACCACAATGAACATGGCCCTGAAAATGTTCCCTTTTGGGACGATAGGAAAGAAAGTAAAGATGGTATATAATCTGTGGTATTCAGAAAACCCTGGCTCTGTTGTGGCTCCTAGATTCTTTTTGGCTCCTATGATCATGTTTGGAATCAGACCATGTCTTCCTCCCTTCTATGTTTCTTTCTATATGCAAAGATGGGTATTAGTAGAACACTGTTAATATACCTATGGAAAAGGAAGGAAGAATTCCTTGGTAAGTTTGGAAGGAAAATCTTGGTGTGATCATTTCCTTTTTCTTTCTTCTGAATTCACGTTCTGCTAAACACATTGCACTAGAATCCTGCCTCATTCAGCATTGCCTGCCACAAGGCATGAAAGGCTAATTCTGAGGGTATTAGGTAACTCTCTTGCTTGATGATAGAAGTCCCACCTTCTCCAATATAAGTCTGTCATTAATAATAAAAACTGATTGCTGGATCTCATATCTGCTTTGTCCTTTGTCTTTTCTCTCAGCTGATTCTGAGCACGGGCTGGGAAATGGGGTGCTATATATATTATACCTCCTTAAATCCTAACAATCCTATTAAGCCAGATGCTTACATCCCAGAAGGAGAAGAGAGGATGCTTTCTGTGAGGGACCTCAATGACTTGATATTCTCGGAATCCCCCGAGTCCTTGGCGGAACATTTTACACACTCGGATCATCATTATGATATCCATGGTAAGTTGGTACAGCCCCTGTGGAAACAAAGCGAACAAGATCAATGGAGATCATCTGTTCTCAATAGTCAAAAGAAGTCTGGATGGCACTGAACAAGATGAAATTTAACAGGATTAAATGCTATGATGTGCTGAAGAAATGGTTGCCTGTTGAAATTATGTTGGTAGCTTGAAACTAGCCACAGAGAGAGTATTAATGCCACAGAAATTGGCAACTATTACAAATAAGGGCATTCCTCACTCTAGAAATCAGCATTATAAACACTCACTAACATACTAATACCTAAATGTGAAGTCTTTCACTTTTATCCAGAAAATAAAGGGCACAAGTAACTGCAGACAGCATGAGGTGGGGGGTGACACAAAAAGCCAACATGGCAAAATGTTGATTGAGAGTTCTAATAGATGATCATTACACATTTTTTTCAAGTTTTACATTTAAAAATTTTCATTTAAAAAATGCAAAAATTACATTAAAAACTTCTGTTTACTAACTTCTATTAATAAGCACATCATAAACAAAGTGAAAAGACAAACTGCAGATTGAAAGAATGTATTTGCCATACATATAACTGAAAGGATAACCACGTAGAATTTTTTTAAATACTACAATCATACAAAAAATATAATAATCCAATAACAAATGAGCAAAAACTATGAATGAGCAATTCAAAGGAAAATTCTAATCAACTATAAATTATGAAAAGATTTTTAACATCACTAGAAATAAAGGAAATGTAAATTAAAATAATAAGATACTATTTTACACATATTGCAAAAATGGGAAACATGGTATGACAATGTTGTAGAGCAATTTGGAAACATTTTATAAGGTTGAGGATATGTGTAATTCACCATCAAGAAATTATACACGTTATATACATACTTAGAGAAACTCACATGCGCACAAGGAGAGAGCCAGGAGAATGCTCATGGCAGCACTGTTTGTTAAGTGAATGGCTGAAAATAAGTTAAATGTCCATTAGTAGGGGAAGGGACTGACACATTAAGGGACAGTCACAGGACTGAACATAGCACTGGACTGTGTGTATCAATGTAAATAAAGCTGAAATCATTTGAATGGGGGGGGAAGTGAACTATGATGTCATTTAAGGTGTCCTTTTAAAAAAAGTGTCCTATGTACACTATATGTTGTTTATGGATATATATATATATATATATATATATATATATATATATATATATATATATATATACAATAACAAAAATGTAAATAGGAATGATAATACCAAACTCAGGAAAGTGATTACCAGTGAAGAGAAATAGAAGGGCTTTACCTGCAACTGTAGTATTCTATCTCATTAAAAAACTAGATATCTAAAGGAAATATGGGGAAAGGTAATTTATTAATGAGATTAACATTTATTGAGTATAATTTAGTAATGTCAGGCATTATTCTAATATGTATTAACTCACTTAATCCTCAACAGTAAATTTATACAATAAGTTCTAAAAATTATCAGTGCCCTTTTATAGAGGAGAAAACAAAGGCACAGCAAACTGAGGAACTTGCCATGACTAATAGATAATGGAGTTCTAAACCCGAGTCCACAGCTTACTCTATTATTTTACCTTGCTACCCTGTCTTATTCTCTCTGCCTCTAAAGACTGGGTACAGAACAGGACTCTAAGACTCAAGAGTGTGGCCTGGTGCTTGCCCAGTGTCCAGAAGGTAGGAGGCTATAGAGCAGTGGTCAGAATTTAGTCCTTCTGAGCTCCTTCTGGAACACCTTCCTTTGTGCCACGCTGTGACTCCAAAAGGTACAGGGTGGCCACCACTCATCCAAGGTCCCTCCTACCTGCCTGTTCCCCAAAATGCCTGTTTGTTTAATCTCCTTCTCAGGAATTCCCTCAAGAACCCTTGATCCTCCTTACCAGTTCCTCCTTCAGGAGTTGCCAGTAATGAGACACCTTACGTCTCCTCATGGTTCTTGAGTTGGCAAATGATACAATGCATTCAAGGATAATATGACTAATCTTCCCCCAAGGATCCAATTACATTAGAAACAAACAACTTCCCTCAGTGGCATGGAAACAGTTTCTTCCTCTCCTTATACCCTGCCAACAACAGCTGGAAGCCTCATTCTCAGAATCTACTGATGTCATAATAAGATTCTGGAAGGAGGAGGGGACAATGGAAAGACACTGAATCTGTGAATCTTTTATTATAAAACACTCATGTCAATTAATCCTCACAAATACCACAAGGTGAGTGAGCTTAATCCCAACTTCATGCTCAAGGACACTAGGGTTCAAAGTGGCTAAATGACTGCAAGAGTCTTGGAGCCATCTTAAAGAAAAGCAGGTTTCTGGGCTAGAGGTAGAAACATCCACTTTAGCCTTGGGATCACTCTAAGACTAAGAACTTGCTAGACCCTGAAGAATGGGTGCATGGTATAGTCCCTGAAGTCTTGTTAAATCAGGATAATCTGGCCAACTCAGCAAAATGGAAGCCCTCAACTTAACGAGGCATCAAATGTTGAAGGAGACAGGTGCGGTGGCTCATGCCTGTAATTTTGGTGGCTAAGGATACTGAGGCAGGAGGATTGCAAGTTCAAAGTCAGCCTCATCAATTTAGCAAGGCCCAAAGCAGTTTAGCATGACCCTGTCCCAAAATAAAAATTTATTTAAAGGGGGGTGTGGCTCAGTAGTTAAGCACCTCTGGGTCAATCCCTGGTATCAAAAAAATAAATAGAGGCTAGGATTGTGGCTCAGTGGTAGAGCACTCACCTAGCATGTGCAGAGCCCTGGGTTCAATCCTCATCACCACATAAAAATAAAGAAATAAAATAAGGATATTGTATCCAACTACAATTAAAAAATAAATGTTTAAAAAATAAAAAATAAAAAAATGAACAAACAAAAAATGTTGAAGGGTCTTGGTGACAGAAATGACTCTAGGGTTCTTCTAAAAATAAAGAAGACGGGGGAAAAGTATTTTTTTTTTCTTCTAGAATAAAGATGGCAATTGATTACAGAACCTCAGTTTGCTTTTGCAACAGGATCCTCAGTGGAAAACTGATTTCAAATATCACCAGATCTGCCATTCCTATTTAGCTGGTTTATCTGCTACTCACACCCTGGCCAACCAAGGGAGAAACAGAAGGATACGTAATGCAGTGAAGACAACTGGAAGAAAGACCCAGGTTCTGGGGGTGTTGCTCCGTGGTATAGCAATTGCCTAGCATGCATCTAAAGAAGAGTTATAGTAGGCCTATACATACACATATATATTCACACAAACAAGTGCATGTAAAACTGAGGGCTTATAAAAATAAGGTCTGTGGATTGTACCTGTGTCAATTTCCTAGTTTTGATATTATACTATAGTCATGTAAGATATTATTTTGGAGGCAAACTGGGTGCAGAATACCAGAGACCTCTCTGTAGTATTTTCACACCTAAGATTCTGTAATAATCTTATCAAAAGGAATTATAACAAAAAGAAATAGCACCAAATCTATGTATACATATTACAAAAAATTGTGGGAGGGGTAGGCAGGGAATAAGAAAAACAAATGACAGGTGAAAGACATCAATAAAAAGACGAAAATTAACATGAAATAGATGATAATCATTAACAAAAAAGAACTTAAAGGGCTCAGGACATTGTAGAATGAGATCAAAGCAAGGACATGATATTACAAAGAATAGGGCTGGAGTTGTGGCTCAGCGGTAGAGTGCTTGCCTAGCACGTGTGAGGCCCTGGGCTCAATCCTCAGCACCACGTAAAAATACATAAACAAAATAAAGGTATTGTGTACAACTAAAAAAAATAAATATTTAAAAAAATATTATAAAGAATAAAAAATTTTAAAAATGGAGGAGATGGCACTGACAGAGTTTGGGAAACAAGTATTTTAAAAATCAAAGCATCTGTACACGTGGAAAAATGAGAATTCATACCCTATTTGAATCAAATGTATGATATGTCAAGATCATTGTATTGTCTTGAACAACTAATAAAAAATAAATAAAATTTTTAAAAAAGCATCTCAGAAGTCAAGGTCATTTCAGAAACATCAAAAAGGATGCTGCTGGTCTGGTTGAAAACAGAAGACAGGATTGAAAGAGCAAGTAAAGGAGTTGGAAAGATTAAAAAAGAGCCAAGAGGGACTGCAATTGTGGTTCAGTGGTAGAGCACTTGTCTGTATGTGCTAGGCACTGGGTTCGAGCCTCAAAACCACATAAAAATAAATAAAAGTATTGTGTTCATCTACAATTAAAAAATATTTTTAAAAAAAGAGCCAAGAAATAATATAGCTAACAAGTACAGGAGAGAGGTGATATAAAAATATGGATTCTTAGCCAGGCATGGTGGTGCCTGTAATCCCAGCAGCTTGGGAGGCAAGGCAGGAGGATCACAAGTTCAAAGTCAGCCGCAGCAACTTAGTGAGGCCCTAAGCAACTCATCAAGACCCTGTCTCTACACATAAAATATTTAAAAGAACTGGGAGTAGTTAAGCACCCCTGAGTTCAATCCCTGGTACCAAAAAAAAAAAAAAAAAAAAAAAAGAATATGGATTCTTTGATTCTTTAATTTTCATAGCTCTAAGTCTTAAGATATCATTCAAAACTGCTATACTAAGAAACAGATGTATACACATATTTAAAAGTATAAAAGAAACTGGGCATGGTGAAGCATGCCTAAATCCCAGCAGCTGGGGAGGCTGAGGCAGGAGGATGGCAAGTTCAAGGCTAGCCTCAGCAATTTAGAGAGACCTAGTCTTAAAAGCTTGGGATGTGACTCAGTGGTTAAACTCCCCTGGAGTTCAATCCCTGGTACCAAAACAAACAAAAGGAAAAAAAAAAAAAAATATATATATATATATATATATATATGGAACTAACAATAATAATGGAGATTGTGTGAAAGAAGCAAAGTATAACAATTACCCTTATTTGATTTTTGAATTTTGTACTATAATCTTTTTTTTTTCGTTGTCAATCTTTATTTTATTTATTTATGTATATGTGGTGCTGAGAATCAAACTTAG